ATTTGTCCTTTGGGTCATCCCAGAGACAACCTGCCTGAAGTGCAGATTTTGGCAGGGATATCTCTAATGTCTTGTGCAGTTGTACCAGTGCTCAAGTGTGGATCACAAATTTTGATAGATGGGCTACCAGAGAAAAGAACTAGACACTCTTGTAAAACCCGTTTAAGTAAAAAAGTGACATCTCTTAGGCCCTAGCAAAGCATTATTGAAAGCTTCCGTAGGGATTTGATCTCCTTATAATGGCAACTTCAACTTGGGGCCATCGGCTCCAGCTTTCCTGAACGATACACAGGCGGCCTTTCTTTTCAACCAAACAAGGTGTCCGTCCATTTAAGGTTATAAGCAATGGCGCAACCCCATGAGCCCCTTCAAATTGGCCAAGAAACAGACTCCAACGAAAGTGACTTTCAACGAACCCCAGATGTAGGGTCTTAAGTTTCTTCTGTGCAAATGGCTTCAACTTCTCTAGTCCCCATCAATATGAGTGTAAGATTGACAGGAATTTCTCCTCTTATATAGTGGGTATAAACTATAAACCATGTGGATCCCCCCCCCCCCCCGTGTCTAAGGTGGTGTTTGGTAGCCTTTTGCCAACCTCCAAATTTTGAACTGTTTCTTTCAAATTAAGTTTAGTGATTAATTGTTTGATCCAAAACATTTTGAACCCATCTCTGAAACATTTTAAACATTTTCGGAAGTGATCTAGTAATCTCCCTACTCCCCTCTCATGGGGGTGTCAACAGGTTGACTAATGCTTTTCGATTTGTTGCTTCATTTTTCTGTTGTTTTATTTTGTCTAGGCTTTTGGACAGGGTTGAGAGGGTAAGGGGGTGTCCTTTTGTTTTGGGTTTTTGGGGCGAGTTCAGATTTCCGCTCCACAGCACATCCCCATCGTGTATTGAGAACATCTTCCAATGATAGTATCAGTCCCGATGATATTATCATCGAGAGATATTCCCAATACACAACGGGAATGTGCCATAGGGTGGAGATGTGATCTCGTGTGGGGCAAGGCGGCCTATGTCCTCCCTTGTATTGTTTCACTTTTTTTTTTATGTTACTTGATCGATAAAATTTTTAGTTAATTGCCCCTTGTATTTGTTTGGGTACAACCAATCGAAGGTTTTGTTAAACTGAGCTTTGAAGGTTTAGGTAAGTGACTGAAACTTTTAAAATGTCTAAATTTGTAAAGTTGTGTTTGATTTGAAGGAAAAAGATAGGAAAACCTATACAAGGTTCTCTTCCTTTTTCTATAATTTTCTTCAAACCAAACACAGCCTTAATAAATTACTTGGGTATAGATTTTAAAAAATGGGGCTTCCATGGTTTATTCAGTGATGGCGTTCCCATCCAAACAACGCACTGTGTCTGTCCATACCTGAACAGATTACAGATGGAACATACCGTTATCATGATTGGGGTTGGTAGTAGGCTCTGTTTGGCTGGTACAAGAGTACTCCACATCCGCGTGAGACGCAATATGATGAAGATGAATCAAGTAAATAACAAAAATTAATGGGTGAGCGACTATTTGATATCGATGGTCGTGTGGCATATAAACCCATCACCGTCATAAATGGACCAAATTGGTTCAGTGGACTCTGCAAAAGAAAGGCCGTATTGGGTTCCTTTTTTCAAGGTAAAGGTATCCGTTGGACAAGTTCATAAGGTGGGCCCATGTCCCTACAATTAGGGCTGGGTTGGGCATAAAGCCAAACCATAAACTGCTGGGGGACCATTTAAAAGGCCTGGACCAGGCCTACATACCTGACTAGTGACTCTACTTACAACAACAACATTACTGGGCCTAACCGCCTAACACAAACACATCCTATAATTACACACACGCTTCACCAAATCGTCACTACCTTGAAGTGGTGAAGTTGACAATAGAGATAGAATGATAGATTTGCTAACTCAGCCCAAATTGTTGGCCCAGACTGAAGAGGACCACACCTTTACTTATCGAGAATTAGAGATTGAGTGACTTTTCATGGATTATATAAAGGTCTCAAGCATGAAGTTGAAATAGAAAAGGAAATCCTCTTCACGCCAACAAAAAAAAAAGAAAAAGAGAGAGGTATCATATCCACAAGAAATTATTCCTAAGTAATCCTTATGCTAAATTTAAAAACAAAAAGAGATTTGTGCATAATCTTTTGATGATCAACCCTATAGAAGGACAACCCTCAATTGACCCAAGTTCTGCAAACTTTCGGCACTTGCACCATCATATCTTCTTCTTCTTTTGTCCTTTATATATATATATATATATAATAATTTGGTTCTTCAGCTTTTGCTCCTTTTAATTTTAATATATTATTGTATATTTTTAACTGTAAAAATAATTAGAAAATAATTTCACAGTGATATTTATCATGGTGATATATTCCTTACGAAAGAGAGAGGGGTCAACCCTAGAGAACCCATATTTAGCTTTGGCATGAATTTTTGGGCCCAAGCCCATCTGGGGTAGCATAAGTAGCCTTTCCTAAAGTTGGGGTGTGGTTGGCCCAGCCCAAGTTGCAATACTGAACAGTGAAAACTAATCTCCTTCCCACTTAAGTGATGAAATTAGACACCAGACCCCTGAAGGTGAAGCCATACAGGTGCCACCAATTCATGAAAACCAAATAAAAAAAAAGGGTTCAAACTCCAAATTCAACTAGAGCATAGAACCCACACCATTTCCTCTCCTCATCTAACTGATCTAATCTTTTTTTGTGTTCTTTTTTTGGTAAACCTAACTGATTGAATCACTACTCTAAGTTCCAAACTGAATTATGTGCATTGCTCACTAGGGTCATGATAGAGTGGGATTTGTATCGGAACCAGCTACATACATTAGGCGCTGATCCTAATGTGACATATCAGACTCTGACCAGTTTGTTTGTGTTTAAAATAAACAAAATATAAAAAGAATCTATAATGAATTGTTAAATTATAAGGAGCCTATTAAGAGACCTCACCTAACAGCTTAAGCTTTTAGGTTGAATAGTTTATTGAAATGGTATCATAGTCTATTTAACCAAGTGGTATAGTGTTCAATCCTCATTGCTCTTATTATAATTAATTTAATTTTAGCACAAGATATGAGTGGATTGTGCTTAATGGCATATCCAAGACCTTTGATCAGTGGGGGCAAACATTATCACAACATCAACTTTACCATAACAATTTGAGTAATTAATACAAAAATTGTGACTAAAATATTTCCACTCGTACACTTTAAGAAAAATAGATACATCTTGCAAATCGATTGGTTCTTCTCCTAGACTTTTATAATATTCAACATACAAGGATCTAAAACCTAAGAAAAGGAAAGAAAACATTGTTCCTAATACAACAACAATTAGGACAATTTTTGCATAAAAAGTACGGGGGCTGTAACTTGCAAAATGCCAAGAGAGAGATCTCCTTGAGTGTGCATCATGCCATCATCCTTCAAGAATGTTAGAGTGAATAGAAATAGAATGGAAGGACTCTATTTGGTTTATTTCCCTGATTTTCTCCTCCATGATCCAGTAATTGTTCCAAATCTAGGGGGTGTCAATAGACCAGGTATGGGTTAGACCTGTTTGAATCAAAATCAATTTGAATAGGTTGGGTGATTTAATAAGACATATTGAATTGAACTAGTCCAGACTTAATGGTCCAAAGTATTTATTGGATTGGATTAGACCTAGTTCATTTATAATGAATTTATTTGGACTAGGTTGGATTGAACTGTACCGATATTTGATCCATTGATAGAAGAAAAGAGTAGAGGGGTCAATGAGCTGGGTTTGGATTGGATTGGATCCAATATGAATTAAAACCACTTTGAGCAAGTTGGACAATCCAATAAGACATTGAATTGGATTGGTCCAAAATATTTATTGGATTGGACCTAGTCCATCTGTAATGGACTCATATTGGGTCAGGTCAAGTTGGACTAATATCTAGTCCATTGACAGTCTTAACCCTTTAGTTTTCCGGGGTAATGCTTATCAATTGTTACATTGGCTCAATTTAGAAAGAGTAAGTTGCACAAATATGAATATATAGAATAATACAAAAAACAAGATTTTGCACTCTACATATTTGTATTTGTACTCCTTCCAAACTGAGCCATTTGGCTGCATTTGGAAACAATGCAAATGGAATGTAAATCCCGGTTCAGGGTAAATTTGCACTCTGGTTCACTTTTGCCTGTATTTGACAATATTATATTTATGCATTGACACATGTTTTATATTTACATTAATAATAAGATGTAAAAGTAAATCAATAAAAAAGAAATAAATTTGTATTTAAGTGGGTTTTTAATAAAAAAATCATATGCTTTATTGGAATTCATATTTGCATCCATTAAAACTAAAAAGTCTGATTGATAAATTTGTCAGTTCACACTTATTTGCATTATTTTCAAAAGCAGGCATTAGAAAAAATACAAGAATGTAGAGTTACTTCAATTATCATTCTTTAAGTAGGTCTTAGTACATGTGTGTCATCCCTCTTATCATGCCTCTACCTGTCCATGTTTTTGGTCCAATAGACTTCACATGAGAGTGGTATATTAGATAATAAAAAGCTACAAGGGACCTAACCTACCAGTTATATAAATAAATATAAATATTAAATAAATTAAATTAAAATCTACATTCAATCCAATTAAATAGATGTGGGTTCTAAGATATCCATACAAATCTAAAATAATCCGATGGGATGTGGCCACGTGGGATAGAAATTGACTTTAGAGCCCATTCAGTCCTAGAATGCCCACTCCCACTACTCAGTGTCATGTTAATGGATTTCCTTTCAGCTTTTCTGTTTAGGGAGAATGAGAGCTCATCTGTCTTCATCTACTGGTGGAGGTTTACTTTGTAGCATCTCCTTCTTTTATGCAAATCATCGCCTCCATCGCCGGCTTTGGCTGACAGCCTGTGAGCCTGACATTGAGATGTCTGGGGAAGGTGAAATGCTTTCTCTTTCATATTATTTTATGTACTAAAACAACACCACCTACACCTAATCCCACAGACCAGAGTTTCCACTCACCACTCCAAAAGCCGTCCGCTCCAGGTCCAGTCTAAAGAACCGTTTCTCAGATCTGGAACATTCTTGGTCCCACTCCGACTCCGACTAAAACTCAATCAACAGATCAGCAAAACCAAGTTGATATCGCTATCAAAACCCAGCTTCTTCCGGTATATTTGTTGTCCAAGCTCCAAAGTTTATGGGATGAGATGGATAATGTTCAGAAGGTTTCAAGAGTATCTGTCCTCCCCAAGTAGGAACCGTTGGATTGGAACTTTCTTTTTTTTTTTACAATAACAGGAAGGATGACGGTCCCATCATCAGAATCAGGGTGGCGCGTCCGCTTTTGTGTTTCTGTGGCGGGACTAATAATCTTATATTATTATTGGTTGACTGACTCGCGTGAACTGAAAACAACGATCAAATCATCTTGTATTAGGGATCTTTGTTTGTGAGCCATTCATTGCTCCCCCCTTTTTATTTGCTTTTGTAGATTGCTTTGGGATTTGGAATCGACAGGACGACAGCTTTAAAACGTAGGATTGTTTGGGGTCACGTTCAACGTTTGAGTCAGCTGTTTGTCTCGAGAGAAACCTGAGAAGGAGTCAATGGGTAGGAATTCAGGTGCCAGTGCTTCAGGAAGTGAAAGAGTTCCTCTCTTGAATCAAGAGGTAAGCTTGAACATTTCGAATGAATAACCCATGATTCTTGTTTCGTTTTCATCTTTTTTTTTTATTTTGAAAAGGTATTTCTTTTTCATCTTCGATTTGTACTTGCATTTAGATTGTGGATAATCTTTTGCTTCGAGTTTTTGACAACCGACACGTTGTAGTTACCAGAATCTTTTTGGCCGTTTGTTGACTTTCATTATTTAAGCAACCCATGTTGTGGTTGCAGGCCAAATTTCTAGATTTTAGATTTTTCCCGATTTTTTAATGTTGAGAGGTTTTTGTTTTGTTTAGATTGTATGAGAGACATATGTAAACTTTCCTTGTTTACTGTTGGTTGTTTTGGAATCCAAGTTTTTGGTGTCAAATCTTTAGCTTATCATGCATGGGCTAATAATTAGATGCTTCGCCTAGTTGGGTTTTCGTCTCTGGTATCTTTGAAGTTTAGCTACCCCATATGGCTATTGGTTATTGGTCTGTGTCTGGTAGATTCATCGAGTATTGGTTTTGGCCCTTATCATTTGATTTTTGCCTCCGGTTTGCGACTTTGTATGCATATATGTTATATGACGATGGGATTGTCGGAGTGCCTCCCTTAGAAAAGGAACAAATAGCAAACTCAGAAGCAGTTTAATTCATCAAAAGAAGAAAAAGAAAAACTTAGAGGCAGTTAATTTCCTATTTCCACAGGTAGAGAGGAAGGTAAATGATGCCCAATCGGCTAATGGTCCTGTAACAGACCTTGAACATGGGGATGCAGTCCAGGTGATTTTAATTTCTTTTTTAAGTTTTTAATTCTTATATCCTGTTTTTATGAGTACTTCAATGAAAAGCTGCTGACTCTTTGGAAACTCAGGCTGCAAATGTGGGATTCTGCAGAGTACTTCGACTGGTAAGTCAGAGTTTTTCTAATGTTTGCTTCTTGTACTAAAGCTATGCAATGAAATATGTAAAGCTGTTAACATCTTATCAAACTTACAGGCAAAGCCTGACGCAGGGAAACTGATGCTTGCTACTATTGCACTTCTGATAGCATCCACAACAAGCATTCTGATTGTAGGTATTTCTTGTATGTTGAGATGGGGCAACCCATCTTCATGAATCATGATTACCATATCCATATTTCTATCACGGATGGTCATTGAGCATGCTCAATTTAACACTCTCATATGATCAAACGTACCTTCATAAACTAATTAGGCTTCTGTTTAAGTTAATATGTTTCTCTGATTGGTCTTACTAAGTGGATGAATTTTCTTTTCCTTGGCAGCCAAAATATGGTGGAATGATAATAGACATTGTGTCCAGAGATACAACAACTCCTGAAAAGCAATTTGAAGCTTTGGATGCCATCAAGAACACCATATTAACTATTGTTCTGATAGTAGTGGTTGGGTATGACTAACCCTGCCATTTTGATTTCTTTTGTAAACCTATATACTAATACATTGTTGCCAGATCAATTTGAAGTTTGCTCTTTACTGAGCTCTAAAAATAATTGAGTAAAAGACAGACTATACACAAGTGTTTCTCCCATATTGTTGCTATCCTCTGTAGTTGTGTTTTTAACCATACAAGAGATAATCCATTTGAACACAAATGGCTTTATGGGGATCTTGAACCTCCAATACTGGATCAGTCCAATTTATTGAGAATTTAACAAAATAAGGTCTCTTAAAGTTATCTTATTTTTCTAAGTGATTGAGTTCTTTTTTGTGGGAATTATTCCTGATTGAAGATGGATAGAAAAAAGAACTGTTCGGTAGTAGCTCTTAATTTTGTTGTACATCTCTACTTGTGTGCTGAAAGACAATTTTCTATCTTACTCTTTCCAAGTCTATATTAAATTATATTTTGCTTGGGTCCTCAAAAGATTTTCAGTTTGCGAAGGCTCTGATTAATGGTTTCCTTTTTATAGTTCGATTTGCACAGCACTTCGGGCATGGTTGTTTTCTTCAGCTAGTGAGAGAGTTGTTGCTCGACTGAGAAAGAAGTTATTTAGTCATCTTATTCAACAAGTGAGACTCAGGAATCCTTAATTTTATTACTTTTGATTCTCCTAGATATTGTAGCTTTTGAGTCACCATATTAATGATCTTTGGATGTTCTAAGTGATCGATCCTACAATCTAAGGTTTGCCAAACATTCTGGAATAGCAAAACAGTTTCTTTAGTCAATGTGTTAAAGCATTATGGCCTGCAGGTGACATAATGTTGGAGAGCACATGCCACTTTAGCTAGGCAATTAACAAGTTATTTGCTGTTTGCTCCTAATCACTGTTGTCATCTATATGGACACCCATTGATATGGTTAAAATGAATTGGCAGGAAATAGCCTTCTATGATGTTACTCGAACTGGGGAGCTCCTAAGTAGGCTGTCTGAAGATACACAGATCATAAAAAATGCTGCAACTACCAACCTTTCTGAGGCACTGCGAAATCTAGCAACTACATTTATTGGTCTTGGCTTCATGTTCACAACATCATGGAAGTTAACTTGTAAGTTACTAGTTTAAAACTGAAATATTCTTTTTCATTCTTTTTGAAAAATTAAAGTATATTTTCATTACTAGGGGCATAAATCCCCCCCAAAATCATTTACAACCACTAATATATCTAGTGTGCCTGTATTTTTTTGATAGTAAAAAGAAAGAAATTTATTAAAAATAAAAGGAAAAGAACTGATTACAATCAATGTCAAGGTATTAATATAACACCCAACCTAGCAACAACCATAACAAAAAAAGCTCATCAAAGAAAAAAAGGCATAAAGAGAAAACAAAAGAAACCTCCTCAACTTGAAAGCATTGTTAACCATCTCCTTCAAACACTTCTTCCTTTCCGTCTCCTTCCTCATTCCATGCTTCTCCTCTTTCCCTTATTATGATCTTCATTCTCTCTTCCTTCTCCTTTCAAAAGCTCTTCTAGCAAACTCCTCTCCTCCTCAGAAAACAAACCTAAGTTCTTGCCAACCCTGAGATTTCTGTATAATAGACATAGAAATATAAAACCTCCCCCACAAAACTACAATCAAGGGGAAGAAACCTCTCAAGGCCTAAGAATCTGACTTGAAACAATATCATCAAAAGCAGTCTTCCTGAACTGCTTCAATATTGTCAGCCAAGAGCTAATAGTGTGAAACAGTTTTCTCAACAAATCAAATGTACCATGTGAAAGCTGAAAAGATGGTTCTTCATAACTGCTTCCCTTTACTTGGTATCCCCTCAATACACCAACTACCTAGCAATTCCGGAACTGATTTTGGAGTTCACCAACTGGCATTCTCCTCTTTAAGATCAAATACCCCAACTGATATTTCAGTGAAGGAATAAGTAATCAACCATTTCAAGATCAAACACACACACACACACACACTTATGGATCAGGTACTGTCATATCGCTGCTAATTAATTTGTCACCTGTCGGGCATTTACCACAAGCCATGTCCATATGAGAAAGGAAACTTTTGAGGGAACAATTTTACTCCATGCCACCCTTCTAGGCGGAAGGAAGGGTTGCCCCTCTGCTGACAATCTTCTAGTAAGGGATTGGATAAAATTTTTCCTGAAGAATTCCATAACCAAATCCTCTCATCTTGTCTTCTCAGCCTCGGCTGCTGACCTTGCAATGTCTGTAGTAGGGCTGCAAACTCCTCAATCTCCCAGTCTTTAAGATTCCTTCACAACCTCGGCATCCATATAACCTGGCTGTGTTCATCACTTCTTAGCATATTCTAACTTTATCCTCCCTGATCACTGACATGGCAAAGATATTTGGATAAAGTTGTTTCAGTGGGATGTTGCCACACCACCTGTCTAACCACAAGCACACCTCTCCCTCTCCAACCTTGAATGCAATCTCTTCCTCAAACAGATTATAAACCTTTTCTATTTTACTTTTCCTTGTTNCACCCACCCACACAATTTGAAAATTGCTTCCACCATATCCACCAGCTGTCTTGTTCGAGGCTAAAGCTCGATAGCCACTTTTCTAACAGAATTTCATGTATAGTCGACCTATTTTTCTAATCTTATTCTTTACTCTTTGATAGTGTTGGCTTTGGCTGTCGTACCGGCTATTTCAGTTGCTGTACGTAAGTTTGGGCGTTTTCTTCGTGAACTTTCACATAAGACTCAAGCTGCAGCTGCAGTAGCTTCATCAATTGCTGAGGTTTGTATTCTCTATTTGAATTTTTAGTTTTTCTTAATTTTTTTTTGATCAGCAAGAAAATTTTTATTAATAAAGTAGCAAAAGTTACAATCAGTTACAAAAGTTATAGGTAGCAGAAAAGCATTAATCTAATCTGCACCCACAAACAATCAATTACAGTTCTGCCCAGTACAATGTAGATCTATTTGCCCCTTGTTTTGCTAGGGTATCCGCCATCCCATTTGTGCTCCGTTTGACCCAACCAAACTGAGAGTTGATCCTCCTTGTAAGTATGTCAATTTCTCTGAAGATAAATTTGAGCTTCCAAGGTATTGAAGTGATGTTTTTAGCCCAAGAAATGACCAGTAGTGAGTCTCCTTCTATTTCTAAGTCTGTTATTCCTTTATGTTCAGCCATCTTTAGACCTTGAAGTAGGGCTAGAGATTCAGCCTGTATTGAGTCACCAATACCTATTGGTCCTGAGAAGAGTACCACCACCACACCCTGATGATTTCTTATCACACCCCCTATGCCTGCCCTTCCTGGGTTACCAAAAGAACTCCCATCAAAATTTAGTTTTAGTTAGTTCAGTGCCGGTGGCCTCCATTCCTCACTCACAATTACTTTGGGTGCATCTGTTAGTGCTACTTCAGCCCAACTTCTTAAAATCTCATTTGTGGAGAAATTTTTTAATAGGTCAATGGTCTTCACCCAATGTGCAGTTCTGATTTTTATGGCTCAATCACTTCCTCCTTTGATTTACTTTTTTCAGAGAAAATTCTTAGGTTTCTTTCCTCCCATATAGTCCATACTGTAGCTGCTCTTGCTGCCTTTCATAAGCATTTTCCTCTTTTCTTCTGTTGTCTCAGGAAGGAAGGGCTGAAAAGACTTACCACATCTTGTGGGGGAACCCATCTGCATCCAAAGAGAGAACAAACAACATTCCAAATACCAGAAACAAAGGAGCAAGATAAAAGTAAATGGGGTAGGGTTTCACCACAATCCAAACAAAGGACACACACATGAGGAGAGAGGCATTTATTTGGCCTCCTTTTTTGTAGCACATCACAAGTGTTTACCTTCCCTAAGAACACTTCCCAACAGAAAGCTTGTACTTTTGGAGGGATCGGTTTACACCATATTTCTTTCACAGGGAAGTTCACCCCCATAGGGTCAGAGTGAGTGAGAAAACCAAAGAAAGATGAACAAGAAAATAAGCCATCAGGAGTTGGGGACCAAACTCTACTATCAGCTATAGATTGGCTAAGACCCTCTCAAGTGTTGAGATTAAAAGCACTAGAGACTCACATTCATTTTCCCTCAACCCTCTTTTGAACCCAAAATCCCAAGAGATACCAAAGTTTGAGAGCAAACCAAACCTAGCAGCAGGTTTGTTTTTGAGGTTTGATAAAGTGTAAAGATCCGGGAATTTAACCAGTCTTCCCAAAATAAAACATTATTGCCACATCCAACATCAAATCTGATAAATTGAAGAAAGATTGGTAATACCTCATAGATTGCCTTCCAGGGAGAGTTTGGAACTGTACTGGAGGCTAGTTTTACATCCCAGCCGTTAACTGCTTCACCATGAATGCTTTTAATGACCCTGTGCCACAACTTATCTTCTTCACAAGGGAATCTCCATAGCCATTTCCCTAGAAGAGCCTTATTTTTCTTTAATAAGTTCCCTATACTTAGGCCACCCTGCTCCTTAGAGTAACAAACTTGCTCTCACTTCACTAAATGATCCTTCTTTTCATCGCCAAGTTCCCACAAAAAATCCCTCGTAATCTTCTTCAATTTCCTAGCTATTTTCACCGGGATCTTGAAGGTGGAGAGGAAATAAGTGGGTAGGTTTTCTAGGGTAGATTTTATCAAGGTGATTTTTCCCCCCAAGGAAATATAATTCTCTTCCACATTGCCAACTTCTTTGTGAATCTCTCTAACACTGGCTTCCAGAAGCTTTCAGATTTTGGATTCCCCCCCAAGGGCATACCTAAGTATTCTAGAAGCCAGCTTTCCACTTCACAACCTAGCAAATTTGCCGATGCTTGGATGTCCCCCTCCCCAATGTTTATTCCAGCTACACAACTTTTTCCCCAATTCACTTTCAGTTTGGAGGCCTTTTGAAACTTATCCACCAATCTTTTCAGGTTCCTTACACTGGATTCATCCGAACTTTCATTGAAAATGATTATATCATCAGCAAATCGCAAGTGAGACACCACCACTTCTGATCTACCCATCCTCCAACCTTTAAACTGGTTATCTTGGTCAACCTTGGTGATTTGTCTACTTAAGACCTCAACCACAAAAGTGAATAAGAATGGGATAAAGGATCACCCTGTCTGAGTCCTCTTTTAGCCCGAAAGAAATCCTTTGCTACCCCATTCATCAGAATAGAAAAATGTGCCAAGCTAATACATTCTTTAATCCACATCCTCCATCTTTCACCTAACCCCATTTTTTCCATTAGATTCAACAGGAAGGACCAATCCACCATAATAAGCTTTTTCTAGGTCCAATTTACAAATCAAACCTTTGCTACCTTGTTTTTTCTTAGTTGCCACACATTCATTTGCCACTAAGATTTGATCCACAATTTGTCTCCCTTCTACAAAAGCTCCTTGGTTCTGAGATATAACATAGGGCAAGACAGTCTTCAACCTACCAGCTAGGACTTTAGCAATGATCTTATACAAGCTACCCACAAGACTTATTGGTCTGTAATCCTTAGGGGTTTTGGCCTCCTCCTTTTTTGGCACTAAAGCAATAAAAGTTGCATTTGCTCCAGGCAATAACTTCCCTTTTTGATAGAACTCCACAAATACATCCATTAATTCATCTTTCAAGATTTCCCAACAGTCATGATAGAAAGCCATTGAAAATCCATCTGGCCCCAAAGCTTTAGATCTATCCATTGAGAAAATTGCTTCGTGTACCTCCTCTACACTGAAAGCTCTTTCTAAGAAGGTTGCTTCGGATTCTGGCACTCTGTCCCACTGAAATTCTCCTAACTCTGCATTGCTTTCCTCAGAGGAGGCAAGGATTGACCTGAAGTGATCCACAAAGCACCTTTCAATTTTCTCCTTTGAATTTACTACTCTTCCCTCCACCTCTATACTGGAGATTTGGTTTTTCCGTCTTCTCCCGTTTGCTAGGGAGTGGAAAAATCTGGTATTTCCATTCCTCTCCAGAAGCCATTTATACCTAGATTTTTGCCTCCAGGAAATTTCTTCCTTCCTCAGGATCTCCTCTAGTTGCATTTTTATATTCCATTTTTCAGCTTTGTTTCTGTAGCATGACTATTATTGGTCTCTCTGTTCTTATCACATTCCTAATAATTTTCCTTTTCTTTGCACTCCCTAGCCCTCTCACATTCCAACAAAGAATCTTCATTCCACTTACTTGAAAATCAAATAAATAAACTTTGAAAATCCTTCCAAAATGTATCTTTGTTTACCATAATCTAACTCTTGGATTTAATTGTTGAAGCATAAAAAAGAAAGCCTTTAATTGTAAACTTGAGGGGGATATGCTGATTCTATATAAAAGAAACTGAATTTAAAGATGTTTTGTTAGAACATCTTAAATCATCATGTATTTCACTTAATCTAGCCCTTACTATTTCTAAATCAGTTATTGTGAATGTTATTATCCTTTTGCCTTTTTCTAAGGCATGTTAACACAATCCTGAGTTAATCTTGTGATAATTTGCTAATAAGATTTTGAAAAATAAATTGTAGGAATCCTTTGGTGCCATAAGAACAGTGAGATCTTTTGCACAGGAGGATTATGAGATTTCACGCTATTCAGAAAAAGTTGATGAGACTTTGATGTTGGGACTTAAACAAGCTGTGAGTTGTTCATATTGTTACAATTTATCCTCCCCCTCCCCAACTTATAGGTGATCTTGGAGTTTTAAATTTCAGAAGGCATCTGAACTTTAGAGTTCCATTTTTTCTGCTACAGAAAGTAATTGGACTCTTTTCTGGAGGGCTAAATGCAGCATCCACATTATCGGTTATCATAGTTGTGATCTATGGGGCTAACATGACAATCAAAGGCTCCATGACCACGGGTGCTCTCACATCCTTCATTCTTTATAGTCTTACAGGTATTTCCCTCATCATATCTGGAACATAGGGTAGCTTCTTTCTAAATTGTTTCATGCTCATTATGTGTCTTGCTCTAGGGCACCTGCATGGATTTGTCTCTGATATTTTGTAATGTCATAGATTTCTTGGGATCCCTACACTTATGGTCTAATCCAACTTGCAAATGCTTTTCTACCTGCAGTGGGGTCCTCGGTATCTGCACTGTCGGGGTTATACACCACAGCAATGAAAGCTGCAGGAGCAAGTAGGAGGGTTTTTCAGCTTCTGGATCGTGTTTCGTCAATGCCTAAATCAGGAAATAAGTGTCCTATGGGGTTGGTTCATTGGAATCCACATCTCTTTGTTTGTAGTATTTAACAATCTGATTTTTCAGTACTAAATGCATTTTTGAGAAAATTTAAGGTATCTGTATGATGGAGTTTAACATTATTTACCACCAATGTAACTGTTATTATGCATAGGTGGGAGTTTAACTAGATCCCACTGGGAGATCTGGTTCTAAAAACTTATTCTATAGGATTGCTTTTTTTTTATCAATAACCAAATAATTCATTAAAATAGGAAAAAAGTTACAGGGAAGGGGAGCCAAAGATACTTAACTCCCCAGAAAAGAAGTACAACTGATTTAAACACTCAGACCCTCACAATTGAGCCCAAAACCCAGAATTTCTAAAATCTCCTTGCCTAGCCAATCCATCAGCAAAGGAGTTGGTGCTTCTTCTAACCCAAGTACATAGGACTTCCATATCCTTAATCAGCGACTTGAATTTTCTTTTCTCATTGCTGTAGCTCCACATCTTGGAAGTGTCTTCTTTCAGCCAATCCACAACAATCGCAGAATCTCCTTCTATAAGCAGTTTTTTGACTTGAATTTCTTTGGCCCTTTGTACCCCTTCCAACACTGCTAACACCTCAGCCCTCAAGGAGTCTCCCACTCCAATTGGACATGAGAACATAGCTATAACATTACCTCTCTCATCCCTTAGGACCCCCCCAATACCCGAAGGCCCTGGATTCCCCATGCTACTGCCATCAAAATTTAGTTTGATAAAACCATGAGGTGGAGGGTTCAACATGAGATTCAAAGTCTTCTTCCTTGTAACTGAGCTAGCAAATTCTTTCCACTTTCTTAACATATCATTTGTTGAAAAATCTGTAAACTCCTTCATTGTCTTCAGCCAGTGTATTACTCTTATATGAGTCAACTCTACCAAAGTTTCCAAGCCTCTCTCCTTTTCCGATAAGATTCTTCCATTTCTTTCCTCCCATAGTGTCCAACAAACAGCAGCTCTCACGCATCTCCACATAATTCTTGATGTTCTCGTTGAGCATTCAATAAGTGAAGAGGAAAACAAGCTTTACAAACTATTTGGAGGTGTCCACCTGCACCCAAATAAAGAAGCAAACCAATCCCAAATATTTTTTGCCAAAACACAAGATATTAGTAAGTGGTACCCAGACTCACCAGCAGCTTTGCATAAAACACATCAGTGTGGAGATAAACAGCTATTGGGTCTTTTTCTTTGAAGTAGGTCACCTGTGTTGATTCTTTCAAGGAAAACTTCCCAACAAAAGCTCCCAACCCTCGGAGGTATAGGTTTACACCACATTTCCTTGACAGGGAATGACAGGCCAAAAGGAATTTCTGGTTGTATCAGGACTTTAAAGAAGGATGCACAAGTGAAGGATCCAGAGGGAGACAAAGACCAGATCCTACTATTTGTCTTTGTGGGTTCCAAGAAGATCCCCTCAAGAATGGACAAAAGAGATGAAACGTTAATCAGTTTTGTGTCCCTGAGTGCTCTTCTCAAACCAAAGTTCCAAGCAAACCCGGAATTTGAGTTTGAGGAAACTGGAAATTGGTTCATTTTTTAGGGTGGAGATTGCAAATAGAGTCGGAAATTGTTCTTTCAAAGGGGTCTCCCCCAACCCAAACATGTTACCAGAACTTTATGAGATTACCCGAGTGTAAATCATACCTGATCCAAGGAGAGAAGAGAGGCAAAACATCTTGGATGGATTTCCAAGGTGATGCTCTTGTAGCTATTGCCAGAATCCCAGAGTCCCAACCATTCTCTGCAAGCCCGTGAATACTACAAATTATCTTCATCCACAGTTTCTCCCTCTCCATAGAAAACCTCCACAGCCATTTCCCTAGCAAAGCCAAATTCCTCTTCATAATATTCCCAATGCCTAGCCCTCCATCCTGCTTATTCTATAGGATTGTAACAAACAACTGATTGCCATCATTGCCTCTTGCCACCATACACTATCACCTTGACAGAGATTTACAACCACATGTGCTTGTGTAATATGTAGAGAATGTTACAGAAACCTTATACTTCCTTTCTGTTCTGAGATTAAAGTCATACTCATATTAATCATCTTCTGTTTACGGTGATAGTGATCGAGATGGAGATGTGGAGATGGATGATGTTTGGTTTGCATATCCCTCTCGGCCAAGTCACATGGTACTAAAGGTAATAATTTTGTTTGATTATTTCTTTTGTCTTATTTGTGCTTACATGTTTTAATAAATTTTCTCTCTCTATTGGTAGGTAAACTAAAAATAGAAAATGTCCTAGGATCTTGGGAAATAGCTATGTATCAGGAACAAAAAGATTTTCTTTTATTTATAAAAAAACAGATATTAGGAAATGATCAATTACATCTTAGGATTTTGGGTCTTAACTAACATGCATTATGCATTTCATAAATTGCAGGGAATATCATTAAAGCTTACATCTGGTTCAAAGGTTGCACTTGTTGGTCCAAGTGGTGGTGGAAAGGTATTATTTCTCTCTTCTAATGTACCATCTGTCTCTGATTAATTTATTATTTTCTTTTTTCCCCTTTGCTTGGTGGGATTTGTCACCAGCTTTTGCACTGTCAGGTGGAGTTGAAAGGACCTTTCTTATACAAACTTGAGTCAGGATACTTGTTTCACTAATGCTCATCTCTTTGTATACTGCAGACAACAATAGCAAACTTGATTGAAAGGTTTTATGATCCTCTTAAGGGAAAGATTTTAATAAATGGTGTCCCACTAGTAGAAATATCACATGGGCATCTCCACAGAAAGGTAAAATTTGATTCTAGCTCCTAACCTTTTTTTGTTCATAAAATAAGATGCTTTAACACCCACTGTCCATTTACAACCTTTTGTACTTGATTCAATTTTCACACTCTCAGTCAAATTGTATATATCTAGGCATTAAAACGTGCTGAGTTGGATATGAATTGGCCTATTGTTGGATGGAGCTTGATTCAAGAAAAAGAAAAAGAAAAATTATGGAATTTAATCCATGTTTCTTTTGTTATACCACCTAATATAATTTATGCTAGACTTGTAATGCATGCTTGTGCTCTGAATACGAGTGTATTTGTTGACTGATAACCTAATAATGTGAACCTTAAGATATCTACTTTACCGAAAACTATGATATGATTTCTTTGCAGAAGCTTGTCATGGACACCTAGAATAACTTATCTAAATGGCTCATTAAACCAGAAGCTTATGTATTCTTTATTCCATCGGAAGAAAACAATAGAGGATTTAACATGTATCGAGTACATCGGTTCATATGTACAGGATTTAACTAAGTTGCACATATGCTGATAGTGCAGTTGATTGGGACATAAAGGATCTAACAAACCCCTAAATGGTGACAAGAAATCCCTCATGCACTATATACAACAGGGCCCCATAAAAACTGAGTTGCATCAGCTCAATCCTTTCACTCTTTGTACTTTCTGACATTAAAAGGTTAACTCTACAAATTTGTATCTGTTGATTGTTATGCTTCTACTATTCAATTAATAGTATTCTTAAAATGACAGTTACACAATATTAGTGCATGTAGACTATCTTGTATCTAGACGTCACTTTTTTTTTCTTCTTGTTGTGCTAATGTATTAAATATAAAGACGTTTACAGATTCAGTTTAACATTTGTCATCTTCCACTTTCTTTGAAATTACAGATCAGTATAGTGAGTCAGGAACCTGTTCTGTTCAACTGTTCTGTGGAAGAGAATATTGCCTATGGATTTGATGGAAAAGCTAGCAGCACTGATATAGAAAATGCAGCTGTAAGGTTCAGGGTCCCTTGTATATGCAATCATTCTTTTTGTTTATTCTTCATAATCCTCTAATTATAAATGCCACTGGGAATTACAGAAAATGGCTAATGCCCATGAATTTGTATCAAAATTTCCGGACAAATATAAAACTTTTGTTGGAGAACGTGGTGTGAGGCTATCAGGAGGTCAGAAACAAAGAATAGCAATTGCAAGAGCACTACTTATGAACCCAAAAATCCTCCTTTTAGATGAAGCCACGAGTGCTCTGGATGCTGAAAGTGAATACCTTGTTCAGGTGAGATTCATATGTCCTTTTTTTTTGAGAAATGTCTGCGTAGGAAAATCTACTTAATTAGGTCATCTATGCTTGCATTCAATTAGTTGATGTCCAAGGTAAAAATGTTGAGATCCCCCAAAAGGAAAAGGGAAAAGGGGAAAAGAAGGAAAAGCAATTTCTTTCATCATAGCTTGAAACAGATGAAGGTTCTCTTTAGTTTTCAGAACTGACAAAAAGCTCTCATGATTTTCAAGGTGCCCAATGTTTTTCTCCTAATAATCTGATTGTGTGGATGTGGGAGTCGAATCAGGTCTGGAATTTGTTATGTCTTCAATGGGCCTGAGGGCAAGGCCAAGCCTAATATAATTGAAAATCTTCAAATCAGGCAATTGGAGTTGCACCCCTATACTGTAAATGCATGTAGATTTTGTATTTTTCCAGTCGTTTTTTTCTGAAAGGTTTTATATTTCAGTTAATCAATTTTTTTGGGGTGTACAGGATGCCATGGATTCTCTCATGAAGGGCAGGACTGTTCTTGTTATAGCCCACAGACTTTCAACTGTTCAAAGTGCCAACTCAGTGGCAGTTATATCTGATGGTCAGATCGTTGAAAGGGGCACACATGATGAGCTTCTCAGCAAGGATGGCATATATACTGCACTAGTGAGGAGGCAACTGCAAGGACACAAAAGTTGACTTCAAGGTCAATTGGACAAACAAATATAAAAGTAGTTAATAGAGGCATGAAGATTCAGCAGTGGAACTGATCTTCTGACTAGAATCCTCATTTTGGGCATGGCTTGAATGACCCATTAATCTTAGGACCTTCAACAAAATTGAGTTTGTAAGTTAGGATGTGGTTAAATTCTTGAGGAGAATGATAAAACGCAACAGAAGCATGCCAATAAATAACAAAACTTATGTCTAACTAATGCTATTTGTATATGGTCAAGTTTTGCAAATTTGCCACTTTGCAAGATGTAGAATCATATGCTTATTTAGTTCATTCTCTTCCTGATAGATTTTATCCCTGGAAAGGGTCAAATGCATTCGAACTTCAAATCCTAAGCAACATATCAAACTGTCCAGTTCTCAAGGTCGTGAAGAAATCTTATAGTTGAAACTCAAGGTTCAAAATATCTGTATATGTACGTGATTCGCTTTGGATATGTATGGATTTGTTGGAAAGATTGGAAAACACATGAAAACATTGAGAAATACATTTACAATAATATACTGGCATGCAAATAATGTAAACTGATTTTACTAACAACGCATCAATTAAGAGTACAGGACATAGTGTAGTTCTTTCGAAAATTATCATATGTATAAAGCCATTAACATGTTATAATTTATTCAAGTTAACATTATTAATTAATAATTATAAAATATATTATTAGATCCATGAGAATTTAGAAGATTCATAAATTTAAGAGATGAAGACACAAATCATATGTAATTGTTATATTTTAATTACCATATTAATTGTTTTAAATGTTAGTATTTTTTTTTCTTTTGTATTTTACCAAAGACATTAGTCAAATTAATCTTAATTCTTAATATGCTAACTAATGGCTATATGCCTTCTTTAAAACTAATAATGCAAACTAATTTAATTTTTAAATAATATTTTTGTTTATGTAAATAATAAATATGTTTTTTACTTATTGCAAATTAAACTATTAATTAATAATTTATAGAATTAGGTTATCTTAACTTAAAAATATATCAAATCCATTAAAATTTGTAAGACATCATATACAATTCATAAATTTTAATATTTTAAGTAGTTATTATGTTTTTATTATTTTTATTTCTATATATAACCGACAAACTAAAAATACATTTTTGACATAAATATTGGGTTTGATAGAGCATTTATATATCATTTGCTTCACTAATATTTATAAGTACCAATTTTAATAATCAATGTTTAAACATCCATAAATAACACTATTTTATTTGAATTAAATGTGGCCCTCATGTTAAACAATTCCTATGTTATTTTAACTACTAGCACTTGATTAGGAGATGATTCAATAGTGAGTAATCATCTATACTATTACAAAACAGATACATGCCTTGGTTCCGGTGTAGGCCATAAAAGTTAAATTTGATAATGTATTGTTAATTAATATTTTTACCTTGGTTTTGATGTATACATACATAACATTCCCTCACATTAATACCTTTAATATTGGAAGAATTGGGTTCAAATGAAATGATATTTTTTAAACATCTTCTACAATATATAAAGTAGATACTTGCCTTGGATTTTGTGATAGTCATAAAATTAAATCCAAGTATCATTTATCATATATAGTTAATACTTACTTGTACACATGCTCTTACAGTAGTATGTTTAATCTTTAACAGGAAAAAAATATTAAAAGGTGGGATTTAAAAATCCAGAACTAATGGGCATAAAATGTAAGATTCAAGATTTGATTTTTTTTTATTTAAAAGAAATAAATTAATGGGGCATAAAAAGTGAGAAAAGAAACTAAAATTAATGAGAGGTAAATGGTGGGATTTAATGGATTAAACTTGACAATTAATGACAATTAAAATTTGAATTTCAAGAGAGCAGGGTAACCTGATACAATACTCACCTACATATCGGCCAAATGGCCAATACAAACCCAATACAAATGAGATAAACCAAGAGGAATGAATGGCATCACTATTGGGCCATTCCAGCTTGTGCCATCTGTTGCTTATCTTGGAAACTGATATTTTAAACCTTGATTAAAACAATTTTATTGAATCCTCAGGACTCATGAGCCATGGAGCCTCAATTTCAATGGTACAGTGATGACATCTTCCTCTAAATGACTATTCAGAGAATCAGAGGGGGATATTCTTTTCCTAAACCATTGTCTAGAGAACACTTTGGTTCCTCATTGAGTTTTTTTAGGCTATGTTTCGTTTGAAGGAAAAAGTAGGGAAAGGAAAGGAAGGAAAACCTTATAAATCTTGTATAGATTTCCCTGCATTTCCCTTCCTTTCCCTACATTTTCCTTCAAACCAAACATAGCCTTAAGGTAAGAATATGCTCCAATATCAGAATTGATTTGGGGATTAATTTTTGTTAGTCACCAACTGGCATTTGTCCCAGATATTAAATTGATGAATTTCACAATAAGGTGCATAAGGTTTTGCACTATTACAAATGTATGGAAGTGCAAATGTTGGCAGTACAAGATATAGTTCAGTTTTGCATAGCCATTTGCATTTGTTTTGTTTGATAATCGTTGGGTACAAATAGGTTGCATATTTGCATTTATTCGTTGGAGGTTGGAGGTGTAAAAGAAAATAAGTGCAAATATAAAACTTGGTCTTGAAAAAAAGATGGGTCCCACCAAGTCACCAACATGACTATCTATGTTTATAGGTATGGGTTCTATATAGGCACCAATTTGTGGTCCCACATATACAATTTATCTATGGGTCCACTTATTTAAATCTTGGCAATAATCTACCTCAATCATGTTTCGATTCAATTAGCCGACCTCATATAGATAAGGATGCTCACAATTCAGTTAATCAAACTGTGGGTCTTTTTTTTAAATTGAATCAGTAGTATTGGTTTTTGAAAAATCGGTAATTGAAACTGAATCAAAGTTGATCGGTTAATCAGTTGATTGGTTCAGTTCATCAGTTTTTTTATTTTTATAATATTGTATATAATAAATATAAAATATTATATCATAAATAATAAATAACATATTGTATATTATAAATAAATATTTATAATATATAATGTAAATACATTCATTTATAATATATAAATAATAATATAATATAAAATATATGAAACATATATATAATATACACAAATATATATATATATAATATATATAAATATATGTATACTGATCGGTTTGATTAATCACCAGTTTTTTATATTGATTAACCAAAATTAAACCGATACTTTTGATTTTTCAAAAATACTGAACCAATCGATTCAATTAACCAAAATTTTCAGTTCAGATTTGTATAGACATAATTCAGAAAAGGGGTTAGATAATGAAGTCATGAAGATGATATTTTAAACCCACATGATCGTGTGATTATGGGCCCAACATTTAGATGTTGGCCCACTTGTTTTAAATCTTGCCAATAGTCTTCCGCAAACAATGAGGTTCAAATAGGCAGCAAATTGTGAAGCTAATTAATAATCTACCCCATTCATGTGTGAAGTTCAGAGATAGACGTGAGATTGCAGGACTCATTAATCACCAAGTGCTCTAATCACGTGATCAATGAGCCTTAGTGCAAAAATCATTATTTATAATACATTAAATTTTGACATCAGTCATTATTTTATGTGCTTTACCATAAAGTAATTTGAATCTAATTATGATCTAATCCATTAAAATAATTTGAATTTGAATGGAAATCTGTTTACTGATTGGGGTTTGTGGTCACAGCACTACCAAGACCAGTTTCAGACCATGCCCAATAAGTCTTGCCCAAGAGAGGGTGGGGGTGGCCCTTGCCTTATTAAATTTGAGAATATGTGGCTATTACATCCTGATTTCTTACCAAAGGTGAATGAATGGTGGGAGGAGGATCAAGTGGAGTTCAAGTGCAAAGGTTATTGATTCTATAAGAAACTGCAGATGATGAAAGTAAGAATTAAGGTTTGGAATAAAGAGATTTTTGAAAGGATTGAAGAAATAAAACAAGAAATCCTAGGTAGAATAGAGGAGTTGGATGGGATAGAAGCTGAGAGAAGTTTGAATTTAGAAGACAGGAAAGAAAGATGGGGTTTGAAAAAGGATTTGGAAGACATCCTAAGAAGATAGAAAGTTACTTGGAGACAAAAATCTAGATGTCAATGGCTAAAGGAAGGAAATGGTAATACCAGTTTTTTCCATATATTGTCAAATGGGAGAAAGAGGAAAAACTCAGTGCTCAAATTGGAATGGAATGAGCAAGTATTGACTATTGACAAGAGATGAGGACATAACTAATGTCTTTGTGAGCCATTTCAAAACACTCTATGAGGGCCGAGGAGTTCAAGAGAAGGTTTAGAGGGATTGGAATGGAGGGCTAGAAATAGAGAGCTATTGGAATCCTTGGAAAAGAAATTTGAGGTTTAGGAAGTGAAAAATGTAGTTTTCTCGATGGGGAGATCTAAAGTCATGGGACCTGATGGTTTTACATGACATTTCATCAAGATTGTTGGGAGATAATTGAGAATGACATGATGGAGGTTTTTGATGAATTCTATGAGAGGGCAAATTTAACTCGGGTGCAAATGCAACTTTCATTGTGTTGATACCAAAGAAAGTGGATGCAATCCAACCAAAGGACTTCAGATTTATAAGTCTAATAGGAAGCATGTACAAAATCATTTTTAAGGTTTTTGCACTGAGAATAAAAAATGTAATTCCCTTGATGATTTCTCCAAATCAAAGGGCTTTGTTTTTGGGAGACAAATAATGGATCAAATTCTCATTGCCAATGAATGTGCAGAGTTTAGAAAAAGGGAGAAGCAAAAATGACTGATCTGTAAATTGGATTTAGAAAAAACTTATGACATGGTGGATTGAGAGTTTCTGATGGGTATTTTTAAGTGTAGAGGATTCGAAGCAAGATGGTGTAGATGGGTGAAGGGCTGCATTTCTTCATGTCATTTATCAATTTTGGTAAATGGAGTAGCAAGAGATTTTTTTTCCTACCAAAAGGGGCCTTAGACAAGGATATCCTTTACCCCCCTTCCTATATACTCTAGTAACTAATGTGTTGAGTGAATTAATCATAAGGGCAGATGCAAAGAATATGATCAGAGGCTGGAGAGTTGGAAGGGAGGAGGTGGTGGTTACACATCTATAGTTTGCATATGATATTATTTTGTTTTGTGAAGGAAGAGCATAAGAACTTATGAACCTAAAAAGGATAGTACATAATTTTGAGTGGATCTCCAACTTTAAAATTTATCGGGGCAAGAGCTACCTGGAAGGAGTAAATTTAAGGAGTGAAGAGGTGAATCTACTAGCTGCACTGTTGGGGTGTGAAGAGGTGAATTTACTTAACCCAACAAATCACCCTGGTGGGTCATAACACAGCCCACTAATCCACTAAACCAGACATGTAACATCTTTTTTCCCATTACTTGGATGTTTCCAAAATACATATCACTACAAAGCAAAAGAGTAATGGATCTCTACAACACAATTTCCTTTGGAAATAAACTTTTGACACCAAGCAAAGTTGCATAATGGGCTGAAGTAGCAATCTATGGGAAGCTCTGGAAAAAGGCCCAAGTAAACTGATAATGTTCTTGTACCATGTAGGCATGGAGCTTTTCATGCAACTGGAATCAACTAATACTTGTCAAAGTACAACCAAAGTAGACAAATTCCTTCACCAATTGGCTATTTGCTTTATCACAATGGTAGGTCTTTAGTTGAGCGACCAAATCATGCAAAAAATCTTCTTCCTAGCTAGGATACTGAACTTCCCATCTAAATATTCCCACAATGCAAAGAATCAAATACAACACGATTAGCATTCCATAAAGCATTAAACCAAAGATTCCATGAACAACTTAATGTTTCTTAAATCCTCTTTGGACTATGGGTAGTTTTGTGGCTTGAACAGCTTCCACAATTCAACAAGATGTTGGGGTTCAATTTTGGCTTGTGTTGATAATCTGCCAAAGATCTGTTCACACTCAGAATATGTCTTGACATAAAGATTGTAGAACCTTATCCTACTGGGTTTTATCAGACCCTTCAATCCAACTTCAAAATCAAGTGCACCTTTTGAGTTTTGACTAGGGGTGGATTCGAGCTGAGCCGAGCCGAATAGTACGAGGCTCGAGCTTGGCTCGGCTCAAGCTCGATTTGAAAAAAATATTTTATAAAAAATAAAAATTATATATAAAAAATTATTTGATATTTAAAAAATTAAGAATTATAATATTATATATATATATATATATATATATATATATATATATATATATATATATATATATTTGAGTTCAGCTTGAAGCTCGGTGATTGAGCTAAGCTGAGCTCAAGTAGCTCGTGAAGAGCTCGGCTCGTGGCCACCCCTACTTTTGACCTTAGATATTCAATCACACTATAACAAGGAACTTTTTTCTGTGAATTTCCTAGTGATTTTGGATGAGGTTTATAGCTTCCTGAAAAAGATCAAACTTTTTTATTACAAGCTAAGTTTTTTGGGAAGACGATGAATAATCGATGAAAAGCTGATCTAGTTAAAACTCTAATTGCCATTGTCGAAACCTTGAGGATTTGGAAAAATACTTGGCTCCCACCAGGACATCCGTCCTACAACAACCATTTTACACACTAGTTTTAAGGTTTAAGGTTTGGACTTGGAGTTTTCATTAGATGGTTTTAGGGTTTAACTAAGATTTTAGATATGATTGGTGAACACAACAATATATGTTCAGCAACTGTGCAATCAACAATGACTCTCCACACCAAAAAAAGGGTAAAATATAAAAACCTCCCCTAAGGTTTCTCACAATCATAAAAATCTCCCTGAAGTTTCATTTTAACAAAAACCTCCCCTATAGTTTTGAAAAATCCTGTAGTTACCTCCTATTTTACCCTTATGACTATCAATTCATATGGAAATTTACTAAAATACACCAAAAGAATTTTTAATTTTTAACTAAAAAATATCCTAAAGAGTAAAGTAATTTAATTTTGTAAACTCATTATGATTGAGTGAAATCTAAAAGGGTAAATCTTGGCATTTTGATTATATTGAAAGATTTCTTTACGAGTAGTAAGGACAATTTTATAACTTCAAAATCTCTATTATGAAAACAATAATATTTTTTTTCCTTGATAATGAATGAAACAATGATAGAAGATCAGGGGAGGCTTTGAAGTTATCACAGGATTTTTTTTAAACTATAAGAGAGGTTTTTGTTAAAATGAAACTTCAAGGGAGGCTTTCACCATTGTTAGAAACCTCAGGGGAAGTTTTTATATTTTACCCAAAATAATAATAATCTCTCCACATTAATCAAAATACATGGGGCACGGAATTTTCGTAAGGGTAAAATATAAAAACCTCCACCGAGTCTACTGACAATCTAAATGATAATATGTAAATACAGAAAATATTTCCAATCTTGGGTAGGCCGATTCAAGGCCAATTTGAGTTCAATTCCATTCGGTTTCAAGTAAAACTTACCCATTTGTTCACTCCTGTTTGATTGTACATTATTTTTAAAATTAGAGAGGAGATTTTTTATACAGTCAAAACACATGGTAGCTTTTATGATTGTCAAAAAATCAAGGGGAGGTTTTTTATATTTTAGAGTCATTTACTAAAACATGCCTTATGTTTTCATAGATTTACTTAAACCTATCCTATACTTTACACTTTACTAAAACACCCCTTATAATATGCAACCTATTTACTTAATTGACTTTTTATTAAAAAATATTTGTTTTGCCATCTAAACATAGTAACATGATCACCTAAATTAAGTAGAAAATGTTCAATTATGATTGTTTATTCTAAAAGTATTCCTAACAACAAAATTGACCAAATAGAAAAAATAGAGTGATTGTCTATGTTTTATTAGGGGCAAATATGAAATTTTTGTTTTTAGTTTCTTTTCATTAAATTTGGTTGAATGGATGTTAGGATTAAAACTATCATTTTCTACTCTAATGAAAGGTCGGTTAAGCAAAATGGCATTTTTGTTTTTAATTTCTTTCTATTAAATTTATTTAAATAAATATTATGGTTAAAACTGTCATTTTCCACTCTAATAATAATAAATTCATGAAACTATAAGAGATATTTTAATAAATAACCCTATATTTTTCCCTTGACTTGAACTTTGAGGTGGCTGACCCATCCATGTGAATTTGATCCAACCGCTTCGCGGTTCGCGCTCAAAGTCGAGGTTTTCAGTTCAGTTTTCTTTCTTCCTGCTCCTGTATATATTCCTCCCAAATACCAAATAGACACCAACAAGAAGGCTTTTCTTTTTCTAAAAGAAAAAAAAAAAAAATGCAGAGATTGCTTTCTTCTAAACTGATCTCAGAAATTCCCAGAAAGCTTCACGACACCTCGTCGTTCCTCGAATCCCATTTCTGCAAAAAATTCATTACTTTCACCGAGCAGAACCCTAAACAGCTATTCAAGTCTTCGGTCACTCAACCTCATTCGAAGTCTCAGCTTGGCTTCACTTTCTCTCGTTCATGGCGGTCTTATCACAGCGCTTCAGAGAAGAACTATTGGTTCTTCGCAAACCCAGAATTCGTAAAACAACTAGCCTCAAATACCCAGTTGATGGTCCGAAGTGGAGCGGTTAGTAAACGCGGGTTTGTCTTTCTGAGAAGCCAGTTTGGAAGACGGCATTTCGAAATCAACCCGATATTCAACTCTTCACGACATCGCTGGTAGGGCGTCCTCTTTTTTCGTTTTATTTTTTTCTGTTTGAACATTTGGGGCTTCAGCACTTTGAGCTTTCATCGACTGTGCCACTGTAAAAATGTGGTTGTTGATGCTTTTGTTTTTCTGTTTCGGTGGATTGTGACTTTTGGGGGACAAACCGAAATGCCAATTAGGTTTAGTTGAGGGTCTTGATCACAAATTTTCATCCATACCACAGAAGATATCGCCATGAGATTGCATTTGCCGCGAGGAATTGAAAAGACCTGAACTGGTGCACAAGTAAAGCACCTGGCTTTTGTAGCAAGTGAAGCATCTGGTTTTATTTCCTCCGGGTTCCGGCCCGCCCGATATAAACCATCATTGTTCTCTCTGTTGTTACTTACCAACCCGAACCGACCCGGGTTATAGCTAGCCCCTCCCTAACACAGTAAAAGAGTTTAGTGGCCCTAAAAATAGTTTGGGCTGCCAATTACCAACCCGCACCGATAACCAATTATTACTTTTCTATTTTAGGATTTACAGCAGCAATTTTGTCTTTTTGTTTTATATTTTTTGATTGGTAACTGTCAAGCTTTATTAGATCAGAAAAAGAATGAGGAATGTAGAATATGCCAATGCATCTTTATGGATAGGCTGGTAAACATCCACCTAACCCATTTTTGTAACTCACGTTACAGTTGGGCCCATAGAATTCATCCTCATTCACCCTCGTTTAACCAGTGTGTCAACTAAAGTATTGGCTGATCTTTGAAATCAATAGAATGTTGCATCTAGTTCCCTTGTCATGTTTCTGGTTTCCCTTATAATGTGTTTGTACTGCCATAGTGTTGGGTTATTGTTTTACATCCAGCTCACCACTACCTTGGAATTTTCTTCTACCACTACCTTAATGAGATTTAGTGATTGGCATCTCAAACCTTGCAATACTATTAGTGGTTCTATTCTTAACGATTCTATGTTACCAAAAGTCCTATATAAAATTATAAATTGCTAATATAATGCCATTTGCATCACTCCTACTACCCCAGAAGGTCCTATATTCCCAACGTTGCACCTATTAAAGTTCAATTCGTACATATTAGCTACACTCCCTATGCTTGATGAAGTAGCCTCCAGATGCCATCCTATAAAGATATCTTTCATACAAAAGGAGCAAAGATATTCAAACTTTTCAACCAATGCACCACTTTCAGTGATGCTTTCAATGATTTCTACCTTGCTGCCCTACCATATATAGTATTATAGCCACATAATCTTTTCACTCCTTGACAATGTGATTATGGTTGGTGGGAACAAATTGGCCACATCAGTTGGAGAAATCCACTTGCAAGGTGCAACCAAATAAGGAGGCAATCCACTCCCATATATTAGAAACAAAAGAGCAAAAGATTAGTAAATAGTAAGTAGTTCCTCTACTTGCATTACATAGAGAGCACATGTTGTGGGGATAAGCACCAATTCAGTCTTCTCTTTTAGAGAGTTTCATATGTGTTTATTTTCTTATGAAGACCTCTCAACAAAAGTCTGTTTTTTTTAGGATGCATAGACCTATTCCAGACTTCTTTTATTGGAAAAGGCTATGGAGGATGAGAAGTAGAGGAAAGAGCTTGAAAGAAAGATGTACAAGTGAAAGATCGAAGGGGTTTTCTAGCCAAACTTTGCGATCTAGTTTATACACATCAAAGTACTTCCTCCAAAACTTTAAACAAATCAAGAGCACAAATGATTTCAAAGTCCCTAGGCCCTTCTAAAGCCAAAGTTCCAGACAATTCCATGAACAGAGACTAGAAAAGAATTTAGATACAAATTTATCATAATACAAAGAAAGAGACAGCAAAGTTAGAAAATAACCATTTTTAGGAGTTTCCCTCAACTACAAGTTTTTCTTTAGTCCTTTTCCTGAATAAACATCATATAGAACAATGTTAAAAAAAAAAAAAAAAACTGTGGGTAAACTATAGATAGCTTTCCAAGAAGTAATTCATATCTGCTAATTACCGTTTTTCTGCTATAACTGCCAGACCAGCTTCTGAACCATTTTTCCAGTAATTCATATCTGCTAATTACCGTTTTTCTGCTATAACTTATTAGTGTGTAACAGTAATCTCTGTAACCATTTCCCAAGCAAGGTTGTGATCCTAATCCCCAAGTTCCCCAGACCTAGCCCCCTTGGCCCTTCCTCCTACACAGCAACAATATCTTTTTATTTTTTTATACAATGATTTCTTTGGGTCTCATTGAAGATATGATTAATAACTGTCCCCTATTTTGCATTATAGATGAAATTTAAAGATTTTGTTCTTCAAGATTATATTTTCTTTTATTTATCAAAAAGGATAATATTTTCTTTTTTGAAAAATAACAAAATTTTGAGGGGAGTGATTTGTGCACATCCCATTTCTTATAAAGGGAGTATACCCTTAAACTTTATCCAAATGATATGCCTTAAAAGACAAAAGCACCTCTATGTTTTGACTTTTGTGATAACAAACAGTGTTTCTTTGTCTTTTCAGTAGGGATTTACCCAATTCATAAAAAATAGGATGTGCCCTAATCACACCCCAATTTTAAACTTAAAACAGAGCTTTTCTATTAACTCTCTCTCATTCTCATCTCATTAGTAAAAGGAAAAAAGAAAACATCCTTCGTTACCTTTCTCTCACTCTAACTATTAATTTTTCCCTTTAATTCACACAATCCAAACTATCATTATGCAATCCTCAATGACAATATCTATGTTTAACTAAATGCCACTAACCTTTTTTACTTGAAGTAGTCCAGGTGTGGAGAAGGATAAACTTTCATCCACTCTCTGACAAAGAAAGGATGCATGTTTTTAATATTCTTTATTTCTATGTTGGTCCTTGACCTGAAACTGTTGGTCAATCTACTGTGGATAATGTTTTAGCAAGATTATGAAGCAAAAGTTCTAGCAACTTTCCTGCCTGAGTTTATTGTCTAAAATTTTAAGATGATTGGTGGGGTAAGGCAATCACATGATAGGCAACTGTACCTTTTCAAAGGTTGTAGCTCACCAACTCAGGATTTTTCTTCCTCTGCTGAGAGAGTTTACTTTTAATAAAGACAGTATTGCAGGTTAGAATTGGTGAGACTGCATGAAGTAGAAAAGGTGTTTCAAGAAGAGTTTTTAGAGTGGGTTGTCAATTGAAAATGCAATAAATTGTTAGTTGATGAATTTTTCGATTTACATGGAGCTAAATGTGTACCAACGGTCTTGCATTAATATATGGTTTATATCATCGGAAGTCTTTCACAAAAAAAAAGTAATAATAATGGGAAGTACTCAGACTGATAACAGAATTCAATTTTGAGAGGAGTGAATGTTCTCTATATGCTATAAAGCTAAGCAATAATGGTTGTTGCCTACTGATGCAAAGAATTTGTATTCTTCTTTAGTACTTCATTTTTCCTGGACAAGTGAACATGAACATTGCTTGGTCTCACTCTGGGGGTGGGGAATGAAAGATCTACCACTTTGAGAAAGAGAGTAAGAATCATATGATAGTACTGAACTGCTAGGCTTTTCATGAAGCAAGGTGGGCAGTGCGGTAGTCCTTGAGACTGTGATACCAAGGGAGAAAAAAGTGCATTTTTTATGTAAGTGCTGAAATATCTGATGATTGGAGAGATTGAGGGAGTTATTGACATCATAATTTTCTGTACTTCACTACATTTATATCCATTATTTGTTCACTTTTATGGTAGAGTTTGTTGCTCTAATTTAACACTTGTTATCCAATGCATATAACCAGCTGTATTCATGCTTCCTATTCTGTTGCCTGAAAAGTTTCATTTTTACTCTTATTAGATGATTCATGATCCAACCCCTATGTGTGATAATTTGTTGCCATCACCTCCTTTTCTATTTCCAGGAGGTCATGGCTCCCAACAGCAGAGGGAATGGTTTTGGCCTTGATTGTGGCTAATGGTGCTGTTTTTACCTTATGGAGGATAGCTGATCCTACATTCATGAGGAAGAACTTCATGGTCAGTTTTCTGTTGGAACAATCACAATTTCTGTTTCTCCAATTAATGTCAAATTTATTTTTCTTACTAGACTAGACTTACCAACCCTAGTACTCATAAGTAGGAATTTTAAGTGACCATCAATCTACCATATTTTCTATTGGTTAACCTTTCTTTTAGGATTATTTTTAGACAGTATTTGATTATTTAAGACTCTTGTGAAACTTTTTCTTAACCATGAGAATATGCTAACTCCTTGTTATTTGAGCAGATTTCAGTGGAAAATTTTACAAGTGGACGTATTCATACATTGATAACTTCTGCATTCAGTCACAATGACATTGGACACCTTGGATCTAATATGATCGGACTTTACTTCTTTGGAAGAACTGTATGCAAGTACATCTTTAAATCTTTATTTTAGTTTAAAGTGAGTTATATGCAGCTGGAAACTCACTCTAAGGCTGTGTTTCTTTCAAGCCAAACACAGCCTAAGGGATTATTTTCATCGGGCAGGACTGTCCTCCTTGCTACTATTAGAGATGTGGTTAATGGTGGCAACAGGCCTATCCTGATCTCACACAAACTTGAGGCCAGACACATAGTGCATGCATGAATAATGAAAAGGTTTGCAAGTTGACTCATTCAGGAAAGCTCCCTAACAACCTAGGAATTTTCCAATGGACAAATGAGTTTGTAGTCCAAAAGGACATCCTGCATTCCTCTCCCCACCCTATGTTCATGCAACAAATTTCAATCTAGAAGACCTTGCCACAAGTTCAAAAATAAATCCCCTTTTTATGGGTAAATTTCATATTATTAAAGAAAAAAACTTTGAAAATATATTATTAGCAGTGTTTTAAAACCCTGTCCAGAGGTTGAACTGCTTTTCTCTTTAGGTCAATGGGTCAGCAGTTCAATCATAGGGTTAACGAGCCAACCCGTGATGTCATTATTGTAATTTTAAAAAATAAAATAATACAAAAAATGGTAACCTGTTGAATAGATTAGATGGGTCAGTGGTTCAACCATCTGGGTTAACAGGTTGTTGACCAAGTCGATGGTTTTTGGTAATATAGCATGTTAGATGTTAACCCAAACTGAAATTGTAGTCCATTTGACAGGGAAACTCTGGACCAGCCATGTCTTCTCTCATCTGGACTGCTGAATAACCTATCTTGTATAAGAGTTTTGCTCAAATAATATTAGTGATATGAACTGCCAATTCTTTTTTTTTTCTAAATTAAAAGAATGCCCATAAGGAATTTCTTATTCTAGACATGGCAACCTTTTCTTTGGCTACCTCATGAATAAACGATGAAGAGAGGAACTCACGGACTTTTGGGCCTCATAACTAGTTTCCATGTGGAAGATTGCAGGATCATTGAGCAGCTCACTAAATTATCCAACTAGAAAACTGTTGTGCCTCTACATGTGATAACAAGCAACCATTTCTAGCCAAGACAAAGGAAAAGTAGGCTCCAAATCTTTTTTTTTTCCCTTATTGTATTGACCAGAAAAACCATTTGATAGGGATACTTTGGTCAATACGTGGAGGATTTTCAGTTTTTATCCCTCTAAACAATGTTGTATTTTGAAATCATGCCTAAACCACTTACTATAACAAGTAAAGCAAAATAAATATTTCCCTCAAAATGGATGTCCTAAAAACAGTAGTTCCAGGCCTGGCTGAGATGAAACTAGTCATTCCATAGCCAGGTCATGCCAGATCTTGAACTGGCATGGTGTGCCATGTATATGCTGCACTTATTAAGAATCCCTGGACCTTTTTTTGTATATACTTCTGCATATAAAGTGAATTTTCAGTAATATCCTCTGAATTTTTTTTTTATGTTCTCTTTTCACATTGCATTGGCCAGATTGGACAAATGTTTGGACCTGAGTTTCTGCTCAAGTTGTATCTAGCTGGGGCAATTGCTGGGTCGGTGTTCTACTTGGTACACCATGCTTTCATGTCGCCATCTCCAAAGGTGCAACCTAAATTAATGGATCCATAATAACAAAATCTAGATATTGAATGCTTATATGAGAATTGAACTTAGAATAAATTACGAGATCCCCTCTTAACTGTTAGCAATTGCTTGGCTTTAAATTCTGTCCACTCTTCTACTTGCAGGGTGGGGGAATGTGGTATGTCGACCCTTTGAGGATTCCAGGATTGGTATGCTTTTACTCAATACTACTTACCGGAGAAGCGCTATATTTGTTTTTTTAAGTTCTTTTTCCTTTTTTAGTTGGCACAAATCAACCTGTTGCAGGTAGGAGTTGAGCATTTTCTGATAGAAAACTAATCTAACCAAAAAAGAACTCACCTAGATAAGCCTGGTCCTTTCTATCATCCCTTCTTAAGTTGAACCAGCTAGCACAGCCCAGTTTATTCGTTCTATTGGTTCAAGTTTGAATATCCTGTTTAATTATTTTAGGTTTGCATGTATTAAATCTTTACCTGATCAATTGCCACTCACCCACTGCCACATAAATGCTTACATATGAATATTATTGGAACCAGGTAGCATGTACAAGGAATAATACAGATATTGGATATTGATGGATGTTATAGGCCTGTATATACCTCTAATTGTATAGTCCATTTATAGTTTATACAGTGCTTATTTATACTTGTGTAGTCCAACTAAAGTCAACTAAGCTTTGTTGCAAACTTGCAACTATATGAGGCCAGCTATGTGAATCCCGTTCTGCCACACAACTTTATGTACCACACAAAATATTTTTTGATATCCTGTATTATGCAAAGGGTGTATCTTTTGGATGTACATTAGTAATACATCGGCATATATATTCTTATATACAGCCAACAACAATTGCATTGGCAGTCAACAAAATCCCATTGCATTTCGATAGATTATAAATAGCTAATGTGTGCATAAGGATGTGCTTGTTTAACTATTTCTTCCATTTGATTTGCTACCTGTTATAGTCTTTCATATTAAATTGTGATTGTTCATGAATTTATTGCTCTTGGCATCATGCAGGGGGCAAGTGGTGCTGTGAATGCTATTATGCTGCTAGATATATTTCTCTTTCCAAGAGCTACTATTTATTTTAATTTGTTCATACCAGTTCCAGCAATTTTGTTGGTAGAGTATCTTTCCATTCAAGGTTATATATGAACTGATGGCCGAAAGATGAATACAATCTTACCACACTTTCTGCTTTAAATCATATCAGGGAGCAGTTTTAATTGGAAAAGATATGCTAAGGATATTACAGGTATGATCAATCTGGAGCCCTTCAGTTCTGCTACATCCTTTTTTTTCCCATTTTTCAACCCTTGACCTTTTTGATAGGTAGCTGAATTGCTTTTCTTTAAAAAACTTTCTTCAGAATAACTCCAGGTTAGAAAATAGACTGGAATTACAGTGCATGATGATTGGAAGTTGAGAAAAATGTGTGGCATATTTCATCCAGACATCTCCCAGTTTTTCTCATTGATGCAATCATCCTGAGCACAGCCTTCTGTGCTCGGGCCATGGCCAGTGTATCGGGCCTAATGGGTGATCTACCCCCTTTAACTCTGTGGCTTTTAACTTTTACAATCTGTTTTCGCAGGGAGACAGTGAGGTCTCAGGATCGGCGCACCTGGGTGGTGCTGTGGTTGCTGCTCTAGCTTGGGCTCGGATTAAAAAGAGATGGATCTGAAAGCAATACTCCCTATATTTTGACCCCCAAACTATCACGATTCAGTAATTTACCCAAGATGATTTGTAAAACATTCCTCTAGGAAATGGAGCATACCATCAATTGAATGATGCTTTCCTTCTTGAAGCTTAGAATGTCTGAGGGTTTTTTCTAAAGCTTGAAACTTTTGACTTTTCCAGTAGAGTAGAAATCTTTCAATGAACACGCTTTTTCATAAGGCTCCATTTGGGAAGAGTACAAATACAAATATGTTCACTTGTTCAATGTAAACACAAATGCTGTCATTCTCATAAACCTGGCATATTTATATTTGCACTGCATATATTTGTATCTGCACTCTTCCTAAACAGAGCCTAGTCTCAGGTTGGGAAGAGTGCAACTATAAATATGTCAAGTGCAAAACCTTGTATAGGTATTTCTATACCTTGTAGGCTTGTATTTCAACTATATATATTTGTATCTGCACTCTTCCCAAGGCTCAGTTTTGGAAGAGTGTAAATACAAATTTAGGTTTAAAATTACAAAATACAAGGTTTTGTAAGGTATATATTTGTATTTACACTCTTTACAAGTGAGCCTAAAGGTTTAAAATTTTCTTTGACCAAGCAAATTTGGCTCGGTAGTAGTAAGTAGGATCGTATGAAAATCTGGAAAAAGGTGGAGAATTAAGACAGAAACCGATACAAGAAAGAATAAGCCAATAAGGTTGGCTAAGAAGAATTAAGTCGAAAACCGGTACAAGCAAATTTGACCAATCCGGTTTGTGTTTTTAGGATAGTGCTTTTATAGTTTTATGGAAATTAAGAGCAGCCCGTTTGGTAGTCCAGAAAATGTTGTTCTTACTAACCATCGTAATAATCCATTGTAAATGTTTTAAAAGTTGCTTTCAAAAAAAATGTTTTAAAAAATAAGAATTAATCAAATCACTTCTAGAGGTGAGCATTTAGTTTATTTGGTTAAAATCGAACTGAACAAATCAAAATAAAAAAATGAATTTAAAAAAAGAAAACTGAACTAAAATCAAATTATAGAAAAACCAAAATAATCGAAACCAAAAATTTTAGTTTGATTTTTTATTAAAATCAAATTTTAATAATATATAATTAAATACATTATATTATATATTATATAGGGAAAATTGCATAATATTAGTACCCTGTAATTTGTGACTAGTTTCACTTTGGTCCCTGAATTTCAAAACATGTTACTTGAACTTCCAAAACATGCCAATTTAATACCTACCGTTAACCAACAGTCAGTTATATGTATCACATGATAATATGTGACTTAAAACTTTTGAAAATGTTTAAATTACCCTTTGAAATAAGACATCTTCCCTAGGAATTAAGATTGAACCAAAGCAATGGTGAAATTGAGTACCAAATGAAGTTGTTTTTCTCTAATATCTAACCCCCCCCCACCCCCTCTCTCTCTCTCTCTCTCTCTCTCTCCCATTCTTTCACTTCTCCTAAGAAGTCTAAACCATCTCTCTGCTTCTCTCTTTTCTCTTTCTTTAATCTTTGTTTCTCAACTAGTGTTGAATCCATACGCCATGCCCTACGAGCTAAAAAACCCATCTCTTCCTCTGTTCTATCCACCAGCTCCACCACCGTTAAAGATGGCAACGATTGTTCCACTTCTTCCACCACAACTACCAGCTTTTGGAGCCTTTGGGCCTTTATTTTATTATCCTTTTTACCCAGCTCCAAGCTATTACTAATGAGATCGGATCTGCTCCTCACACGCACATCCAACCATGCATTGGGAACATCTTCTGCACTTATTAATTATTATTCACAGGAGACGTTTCCAATGCACGGTGGATGTACATGTGAGGCGCCCATTTGTGACGTTTCCAATGCACGGTGGATGTACATGTGAGGCGCCCATTTGTGAGGAACAGATCCCGTCTCATTACTAACAACAACCATGCAACATTTACTATTGTCTTCCACCTCCTTTGCTACCATGACCGGCATTGCATTTTCCCACATACGCATACTGCACCATTGCTACAGACATCCAGATTATGGGCATGGAGGTAAAAAGTGGTGGTGCTTGCAGAACAAGATCTATGCCCTAAGAAACATAATATTTCAAAGAAATTAGGATTTTGTTATTTCTCAATAATAGAGGAATGAGAAACACGCTATTCCATGGTGTCCCTTTAAAATAACGAACATGCGTGGCTATGTGTGGGTGTAGTATTGTTCCCCTAAAATCAATGGTCAAAGTATTGATACGTATCGTCAGCCAATACGTATCATATTGGGGGCTTCCCAATATGCCCCTACATGGTGTGTTTCGGGGTCCCGACCAGTTCAAAGGGTGGATAGACCTTTGAACCAAATTCGAAAAAAAAAAATAAAAAAGCTATTGATACTGATCAATATATCACTACCGGTGTATCAGGCATATCGATATTTTGAACATTGCCTTCTTCCTCCATCAACAAAGCTCCTGACGCAACCCCCTCTCAACTCTTAAAAATGTTTGAGATGCCTATGTAACACCCATTTTCTCTTAAAAATGTTTGACTTTTTTATATATTTTATATGTTATTTTTCCTTACTAGATCCCCTATTTGTTTTTCATTGATTTTCTTATACCGATGGGGGAGGCATCAAAAGCCCAATTGATCATTTTTTTCTTCCTCCAACACAATATTTCTTTACAAATAGAACCTATTAGCTATGTTTTTTTTTTTTCTTCTGACACTTTAGGTGTTTTAATCTATATTGTGTATTTTTCTCCTATATTAACTGCCACAGATGAAAGGTATTTAGGCTATGTTTGATGATTAAGTGGTTTGAAAAATAAGCATTTATTGTACAGGTGTTTATTCTAAGTACTTATTTTAACAACCACTTAATGATGTTTGGTGACCTATTTCTCAAATCACACATATAAACAATGGTTTATATGAAAAATTTAACCCCCAAAAGTGCTTATCTTAGCATAAATGAAAATTTTAACCCCCATTTCACCCACACATATAGACAATGGTTTTCATGTATTATATTATACATTTAAAGGAGCCCACACATACCACGTCAATCCACATGTGCCATTAATAGAAAAAATAAGGAATAATAGTAATGATAGTGATGATAATAATAATAATAATAATAATAATAATAATAATAATAATAATAATAATAATAATAACAATATAATAATGATGATGATGATAAAAAATAACAATAACATAACAAATATTGAAGAGTATTTTCAGAAAATATTTTTAAATAGCAATTTTCACAAAATACTTTCAAAAAGCACTTCCAAGGGGCAATTTTCACAAAGTACTTTTAGAAAGTATTTTCAAATAGCAGCTTTCACAAAATACTTCCAAATAACAATTTTCACAAAGTACTTCCAAAGGACAGTTTTCACAAATTACTTTTAGAAAGTACTTTCAAATAGCAATTCTTACAAATTGCTTTCATAAAGTATTTTCAAAGAGCAATTTTCACAAAATACTGTTAAAAAGTACTTTCAAAGAGCAGTTTTCACAAATTGCTTTCAAAAAGTATTTTCAAAGAGCAGTTTTCACAAAATGCTTCCAAGAAAGTACTTTCAAANTTTCAAAGAGCAGTTTTCACAAAATGCTTCCAAGAAAGTACTTTCAAAGAGTAGATCTCATAAAATACTTTCAGAAAGTACTTCCAAAGAAAAGTTCTTACAAAATACTTTCAGAAAGTACTTTTAAAGAGTAGTTTTCACAAATTGCTTTCAAAAAGTAATTTTCACAAATACTTTCAAATAACAGTTCTCACAAAATACTTTTAGAAAGTAATTTTAAAGAGTAGATTCCATAGAATACATTTAACCTAACTTTATAAAATGATTCTAAATTTTTGTCTTTAATTATAATTAAGAAAACAGGTAAAAAATATCATAAACTTTGTGTTCATGTTCAATTAATGCACCCTCTAGTAACATAAAAGTGTGGATGTTTGTAAAATTGCATCTCACTTGGACATGTACATCACACCCATTGTAATCATACTAACTAGCAAGACATACGTGGATGCCCAATACACATAAGGTTAATCTAGGTGCACCACTCCTATCAAACAGTGGATTAGTCGAAGAATCATGTGAAGCATGAAATGACGGAATTGATAATCTACTTCTTCGTATGTTTTATATGAGAAAACACCGTACCACTATATCGGTTAGGGGTAAGCACTATTTGGTTAAAACCGAAAAACTGAACCAAAAAAATTTGGTTTTGATTTTTGGTTAAATCGATTTAGTTAATTTAGTTTTTTGTTTCGGTTTTTAGAATTAAAATTTTGGTTAATCAAATTAACCAACTTTCTATTATTATATATAATATATAATATTTGTAATATGTAAGATATAATATATAATATATCATATTTATGTATTAATATACAATAAAATGAAATTTGATTCCATAATATATATTTTAGAATATATAATAGGTACCATTTGTTATAATATATATAATAAAGTGCATATTATTAAAATTCGATTTTAACCGAAATAAATGAAAACCAAACCAAAATTTTCGGTTTCGGTTATTTTAGTTTTTCTATAATCCAATTACGGTTTTAGTTTTTAAAATTTCTATTTATTTGGTTTGATTTTTAATCGAACAAACCAAATGCTCACCCTTAGTATCGGTGGACCTGTACGTTGCGCACATTCAGCCTAGGTATTGTATATACTTGGGCAACAACCAATGAACACTACATACTATTTCCTACCAACCATTAATGACCTGTAATGAGATTATATGTATCATCAACGACTAGATAAATATGGCTAAAGTCTCCAAAACATAAGGTGCCTATATATGTTAAAGTCGAATACATCCCCAGTCAATGCATAATGTTATTGAAACACAGAAAAACAAATACCATGACCACTAACATAACTTATGTTGAACTAAGCCTCATTAAAACATCTTGTTATTGACATAAGTTAAATTTGAAAATCAACAATAAGATGTTTTTGAGACTTTAGCCATAAAGTACCTAGCAACTGAGGTTTGAAATACAATCGCATCTCTTGTTGCTGATTTAAACTAGCAACTGCAATTTCATCAAAATCTTCTACATTTGTCTCAAATGGAGGTTGTATTTCAAACCCCTCATCATTTTTAAACTCGTTAAACAGGGTGTCTATATGCTGGTTGTCCCTCATGAAGTTATGTATTGTCATGCAAACCATAACTAGCAATTGTTGTGTTTTCAATGAATAGCACAACAAACACTTCAAAATAGGGAATTGAGCCTTCAACACATGAAACTCCATTCAATGACACTTCTCAATAAGGCATGGGCATTGTTGAAGTACTCTTCCTTTGTCCTAGGCCGTCCTCCCTTTCAAAAATCAAGCAAATGATACCATGTATTACGGTATGGTGCCATGTAGCCAAGTCATGTTGGGATATGCAAAATCAATAACATAATACTTACCTAAGCATGGGAATGGAAATATTATTTTATACATGAATCCAAATAATTTAAACAAAATTTTTAATGTATACATACGTACCCTAGGGTGGATGCAGGATATTATATTTTGAATTATGTATGGCTTTTCCAAATATGTGATAGTCATGTGCAGTCCTCTCCCATCCAACAAAGACAAATGTAAATTTCATATTAAAATCACATGCGACCATTACATTTTGTATGTAATGCCCTTTTTTTGTGTTTTAATGTATACATACATACCCTAGGGTGGATGCAGGATATTATATTTCGAATTATGTATGGCTTTTCCAAATATGTGATAGTCATGTGCAGTCATCTCCCATCCAACAAAGACAAATGTAAATTGCATATTAAAATCACATGCGACCATTACATTTTGTATGTAATGCCCTTTTTTGTGTTGGTATAGTGTCTGCATATTAGTAGGGACCATGCAAATATGTGTGTCCCATCAATAGCCCCTATGCAGTTCTAAAAAAAAACTAAACTCAATAGAATTTAGTATTCATCTATCATGTGATTTTAAAAGGAACTCAGTGTGCAAATGTTACCTTGAAATATGGATAGTATTTTGGATTATGCCAGATGTGTGGATGAACAATGTTGAAGTTAGGGGACATATTATTGACAACAAAAGTTTAACCATTGCCATCAATATGTTATTGAAAGAACGACTAATCGTCTCGTTGGAGTGTTGGAATCACTTTTGCATCATCTGATTTCTCTTGTTATGTCCAACAACATGAAGGAAAATGACTAATTGTTCCTCCACTGAAACATCTTGACTATTTTCAATGAAAACATGTTCTTATTAAGTATATCGCATAGTCATATAAACACATGCTTGTCCATATGACAAAGTTCGTATAGTCGACCATCATGCCCTTTGAAGAGAAATTGTGTATACATCGTACCATTGCAATCAATGGTATATTTAAGTTCTCTACGAACCCAAGTATCATAGTAATAGTCCCCCACCACAAATGCAACATCCATAATACACTTCACCTCCTTATTGGTGTCCATCACACCATCGTAAGATAAGCTAATATTGAAATCTGACTCAATATCTGATACTACCTCAAGTCTCCATTTTGGTTTCCTTACCAGTATCCATCTCTTACATTACCATGCAATTTAAAAAAAAAAACAGAAAAAAGATAATCATAGAAAGGAATGCATAATGCAAGAAAAAAAAAAAACAAGTGTAACATACCATTAAAATGTAAAGTAAATCAAATTCAATGATAATAATCCTAAAACATGGTTAACAAAATAGAGTAATCAAGTTATCAAATCATAGAAAGATAAACATGTATCACTCTCTCTTGGAATGCTGGTACAACTCTCTAATCATCTTCAGGTGCAAGGTCATAGACCTAATTGCAATAAACAAGTTACGAAATTCGCCTTTCATTAACAGGAGACTAGCAAACATGAATAGAGGACTCCCCTTAGGGATGGCAATTTTTTCCATTTCCCCGATCCCCATGGGGATCCGCCCAGAATGGGGCGAGGATGGAAATGATTTTCCCCCCACGGGGACGGGGAGAGCACTCCCCACCCTGCAGAGACCCCGATCCCCGCCCTGTGGGATCCCCACTAATATATATGTATATATGTATGCATATGTTATATGTATATATGTACACATACATCTATATATTAACATTTTTAAAATATGGTTGAATATGTTTGAATCTTTTTCTAAAAGGATTGTAAATTTTAATTATTTTATTTTAATTTTTAAATAAAATAAAAAATAAAAACAAAATATTTAACATTATAAAAAATCACAAGGAATGGGGATCCCCGCGGGGTGGGATCCCTGTTGGGATGGGGACGGGGATAACCTTGTCCACGTTAGTGGGGACAAGGATGGGGAGAGGCTCCTCATCCCCACCCCGCCTCGTTGTCGTTCCTAACTCCCCTCCTCAATCTCAAGGATCTCACTAAGGAGTTTCATGCATCACTCCATAGAAACGAGCTTTACGAGTAGCTATTATCTCGAATGCATAGGGAATTCTTTCTAGGTTCCTGTTAATCCGTACAACCCCTGTTGTCTTCTCTTTCCTAGAAGAGTTGTTACTCTCGCCCATGTCTTTGGGGATAATCTTATGTGGGTGAGTGTTATTTGGAAATATTCTAGCTTCTTGCATTGTTTCAAATGCCTCTATTGGTGTTTGTGACTCATGTTGTACTTCATCATCCATCTAGTCATCATTTAGAGTTAATAATAATAATAATCTTATGTGGGTGAGTGTTATTTGGGAATATTCTAGCTTCTTGCATTGTTTCAAATGCCTCTATTGGTGTTTGTGACTCATGTTGTACTTCATCATCCATCTAGTCATCATTTAGAGTTAATAATAATAATAATAATAATATGCAATGAGAAACTTTGAAAAAGGGATAACACTTATTATTCATATTAATTATACATAAATAAATGAAAATACATATGAATAAAAAAAATAGGAAAAAACATCACAAATATACAACAAGAAATTAAAAGAAAGATAACATTTATTATTCATATTAATAATAAAAAGTAAATGAAATTTTGGATTAATAAAAAATGTAAAAAACAACACAAAAAAAAGTAGGATAATAATTTTTATTCATATTAATAATAAAAATAAAGGAAAATCTGGATTAATAAAAAAAAGGAAAACCATAACAAATATGCAATGAGAAATTTAAAAAAAAAGTGTGATAACATTTATTGTTCATATTAAAAAATAAATGAAATTTCAAATTAATCAAAAAAATGTAGAAAACATCACAAATATGCAAAGATATGGATACAAAAAAAAAAACTACTTATATTAGCATATTATTATTCATATTAAAAATCAAGAAACACCAAAATGTAATCACATATTTCAACATATTATTATTCATATTAAAAATCAAGAAAAAATTCAGCAACCACATATTCCAGCATATTATTAACATAATCTTCAACAAAAATGGACCAAAAAAATACTTCTTATTCATAAGAAACACCACAAGTATGCAATAAGAATTTAAAAAAAAAGATATCACCAATTATTCACATTAAATTTCCAAAAAAAAAATGCAGCAGAATTCGGAATATGCAAAAACAGAACAAAAAAAAAATCAGTAATTACCTATTAACAATGGAAGGATTGAATGGCTTATCTTCAAAGTTGAACTTTTTATTACTTTTCAAATATCACATAGAAAGATGATACAATGAAAAGAAACCCAAACTTCTAGAGCTGTTGCAAGAAATCAAATTAAATATCTATTCTCTAAAGGACTTCCTGTGTCTGAGTGGGACTCCTGGCTCAAGCCAAATGGCAATGGAAAAGAGGTGATGAATGGTTTTAAAGTTGTCATCACACAATGACAATGAACATTTGAGCTGATAATGAGATCACTGTAGGCCATTCCTGTTCAGGCAAGGATCATGCAAGAAGGGTATTTCCAAAGAGGAAATGCATCCAAGGGACTTTAAATCTGATTTCCAAAATATCTTCCAAAAACACTCGTCTTTTATTACGTTCCTCTCTTGGTAGGGAGAGAGAAACATAAACTGGGTTAATTCGAGAAAACCCAAAGCCTCCAAACTCTAACAAGAGTACAAATTTGAGATAATATCCAATATTTTAATTAACTCTAAAAATACAACTTAAATACATGAACCAACGTTCCAACATATCAACTACTAGAGAGATTCTCTCCTTGTTTTAAGGCTTTACTCCATCTTAATAACAAACCCATGAGTCCAGATCTTCTGCCCACGTTAATCGCATCCACACATTGAGAACATCTCATCCTCTGCATAGTATTATGCAGGGGGAGATGTTCCCAATTCATGAAAATTARTGTATTGTGGGTAAGCGTGGGCAGAGTTCTCGTGAACAGGAGATACGGAGTCCAAACCCCACTTATCTAAAGACCCCCCATTGACTGCTTTAACAAGACCACGTAATCTCCTAAATGGCTAAATGTAAGTTCATGGAACCCACTAAATCCCCAACAACCGATTAACACTAACAAACTACAAACCCAACAAATCACCCTGGTGGGTCCCAACACAGCCCACTAATCCACTAAACCTGACATGTAACATTCCCATCCCCTTAAAATTGACCTTGTCCTCAAGGTCATGCGATGAACAAACACAAATAGTGACACGTGCATGCTTTTCTTGATTGGCCACCACATTGTTGGCCACAAGTTTCCCTCGAATCCAATAACAGTGTTGTCTTCGTCACAATACTTGGTATTTATCTCTTTTTATAGCAAAATTGTTGAGTTCCACATTCCCCAAGAATGTCACTCTTACACGCTTGTTCGAGTGCAGTGATACCTGCAAACGGAGAGCTAAGGGCACATGGGAAATTCAGGTAGTAATTCGCGATCAAGTCATAGAGCAGTCTGGATTCATGCCACAGTTTGGTTGCACATGACCCACATCATAATTGTATGAGGTTGCTTTAATCTCCTTTTCCTTGCACAAGGGATCAATCGGAGTGTTGAATACAGCAGCAATGGATGTGACCCTTGAAGTGGAATCCATGTAACAAAAAATGTTCATTGCTTTATTTAGATTACCAGCTCTGTAATACTGCCTGATCAATGCTCCATAGGTAACTATAGTGAACAGAAGACCATCTTTAATAATTTTTTCTGGTACTAGACATGCATTGCACTATTGGAGAAAATTTCAGCTATGGACCAAGTGGAAATGAGTAGGTTGTATGTCCTTTCAGCAGGTCAAATTCTCTTCTCCATTAGTTCCGTAAATGGCACTGAATCAGTGAATTGGCATTCATCTCTCGCTCCACCACCACTCGGAATTTATTCTGCCATAACATGCTCAACCCCGAATTTGCCCATCTGTGCAGCAATGCTAGAGTCCTCAACTCGGTTCCATATTATAAGTGCTAGGCAGATTTGGATCATCTCATAGGCTTTGGAAAAGTGAAGCTGCTCAAGCTTCTCATTTTGGATTGTAGACGAGAACTCCAAAAAGTTCCAGAAAGCTCCATAAAAACAAGAGCCAAAGGGCTTGATTCTACTTTTATCTCAGCAAATAATGGAAGAAGAGCAATAAAAACAACAGCATAATTATTGTTAAGAATGCCGGTGCAAGTTCCTCCGCCATTGTGTGTAGAAATATTCCAAGGTGGATGTTTGGATGTCTCTGCTTCTATTTCAGTGTTCTCAATTGACCTTGAGCAACATTTGCTAGGCAACATCGCTGCCCTCTGCAATGGAAAAATCTTAAACTGGGTTGTCCAAGTGGAACTGCACAGAATGTGATGGAATAATGGAGGAGAGGTGATGACAAAGCTCGCCATCACCACCATCATTTTCTTCCACTCACCAGGATCGAGTAAATCCTTTGGTTTGGACTTCAGAATTCCCCATCGTTTTGACTTTAACTTATCCGCTAAATCATCAACCTTTTCCCAATATGATTTCACCATAGTATCTGTAAGTGAGCGATACAGTGGAAGAAGGAGAAGAAAACCTCCAAAGGTTCTGGCTCTTCTTAGATCATCAATCGTGATCACTGTTGTCTTTCTGCTCTTGTGATCATTCATATTACAAAACTCCACAACAGAAGCCTTCTCACCACCAAGAAACCCAGCATGACCGCTCATAGGATTAAGACATTGAATCACACTTGTAGGATGAATAATATTATGAGACTTAAAAAGCCAGTCATTGAGATACATGGTGTAGAATCTTCGAATATCGACTGAAATCTAAAAGCACATCACGAGGTTCAAATACTTCACCATCCGGGGACACTTAATTACCTGACTGAATTCTTCAAAGCTAGTTGGAGTCACATTGGTCACCTTGAATTTGACCGTAGAAGATGCCTTTGCTTCTCCTGAGAAATCCATTGAGAGGGAGAGAGATGGAGAGTACTGATCGTTAGTGCTAGATGTCAATGATCCACTGTTGATTTTCATAGAGCCAAAGAGATCCCCTCTTCCAAAGAACTCTTCAACGGCATCTACCTTCTCATCTTCTTTATTGCAAATGGCTTTTAGTTGATCCAAACTAGCAGAGAGGCACTACAGGAAAAATGGTTGCCGCTAAAACTCCAAAACTGCCGCTAAAAGTTTTACCGGCAGTCAGCAACATGCCGCTAAAACATGTGTTGCTAGAAGTTCTAGCGGACTAGCGACAGTTTTGACAACTGCTGGTAAAAAAAAAAAAACTGCCGCTAAAACCAAGGCCTTTAGCAGCAGATGTAAACTGCCACTAAAGACTAAATTCTAAGCGACAGCTTTATCTTTAGCAGCAGTCGCGACTGCCACTAAAAGTTTGTCACGCTTTTTTCAGCACACTTTTTGGTGCGCTTTTTTCGCTAAATCATATTTTTTTTCATATCCCTATAGTTGTTTTCAATCAGTAAACAAGCTTCTAATTTGCTTCAAATAACATGTTTTCTCTTCATTAATCTAAATTGAAATGTAATACAAAAGTCAAAACATCAACTACAAATAAATTTTAAAAGTCCATTCTCCATTCAAAACATTTGAATCACAAATACATCTGAGTTTCAAATTGACACTTTAATACAAATTTCATCATCCATTCTCCAAATTCAAAACACATGATTTATAAAAACTTCTCCCAAAATCCAACGAAAAGATGAATTCCTGATGAAAACAATCATAAATAAACTTGAATCAAAACCAGAAATAAGCCATCAAAGTAAAAAAAAAAAAAAAAAAAAAAACATAAATAGTGATAAATAATTCATTAATTGGATTAGACACTTGAAACTTAGAAATGCAAGTAGCCAATGTTCTTAAGGCCTAGTTTGTTTGAACTTTGAGTGACTTACCACTGCTGTCTAAATGTTCTTAAGGGTAAGGAAGCACCTTCCTGGAGCATCTGAATTTGGATATATTTCTCATTTGCAACCATCAGTTCTGCCATAGGTAGGATTAACTTACTAGGAAAGATGGGGGTAGATGTTACAAACATTAACTAACTAGCAAAGTTCATGAAAATGACAGCATTTGTGTTTGCAAATATATTTATTTCTGCTTGCAGTCTTTCCAAATGGAGCCTAAATAACAAACTTTTAGATCTATATGGACCCCTATTGTTTAGTCCTAAGAAAAAAGCCCAACTCTGATTGAAGGAGAAGCTCTCCTGATAAGGGCTTTGGTGCTAATTGCTAAGATATCCATGAGTATCCTGGGTCCAACTATGATAAGGTGCTAAGGTAAAATAACTGAGCTTGCTTTAATAACCTGTTCCAACCACACCTTAGAGAGTTGCACTTTTTTTTTCTTTTGTATTTGTTGGTAGGACCTGCTCCAACCAAACTTTCCTTTAACCTGGTAACATGTTTAATATTTGTCTTGCTTGGATTTTTGTTTGCCCCTTGTTTATCTAAGGCATCCACCATGCTATTAGCTGTTTTTTTTATCAATTGCTATTAGCTGATCTTTGTGAACAGAGGAACTGAATTCTGAATTCTCTTGCTAAGCTGCCTTACACTTCACTCACATGTATCTGTACTGCCACATTATAGGGTTATTTTGTCCAATCTAGCTTTTATCTCCTTTCAGTATGAGGTCTCGATTTAAGTTCCTGATGTAATGACAAGTAATAACTCAACATTTATAGAGTCTTGCCTCTTCAAAGACATCTGATAAAACATTTACCAAGTCTCCTTAGCCTAAAGTCCTAAAGTATGATGCCATAACTACACCATCAGTCCCAAAGTATAGTTCAAGGTAAAAGATCAAACATATATTTATAACAAAATGTGCAAATCTGGAACAAGAATATCAATGTTGAAACCATCACAAGAGGTAGAAAAATAGATAGCGTGACATTTTGATTTATGAACCTCTGCTCAAATTCCATGCTACTCTACTTGAGTATGTCAGAATTTTAATGATAAATTAAATTATTTGTTGTGAGAAGGAGCATGAGTACCTTGAAGTTGGTCAAATCAGGGACGACATAGTTTGGCAATTTCTCATTCATCACAACATATCCACCTGCACCAAAATGCTATGACACATTATAAACAACAAAATGATATTCACTTCCAACAATTGCTAAAAATGGAGTTTAGAGGGGATCACCTTCTTAGTTTGTTTTTTATTATTAAAAGATAGAAAGATAMAAAAGAAATCCCAGAGCATGTCAGAATTTTAATGATAAATTAAATTATTTGTTGTGAGAAGGAGCATGAGTACCTTGAAGTTGGTCAAATCAGGGACGACATAGTTTGGCAATTTCTCATTCATCACAACATATCCACCTGCACCAAAATGCTATGACACATTATAACAACAAAATGATATTCACTTCCAACAATTGCTAAAAATGGAGTTTAGAGGGGATCACCTTCTTAGTTTGTTTTTTATTATTAAAAGATAGAAAGATAAAAAAGAAATCCCAGAGCTAACTCAGCAAACATCCAGTACTACAAGCCAAGACTTAGGGCCATTTAATAATTGCTAAGTTTGACTTAACCGAATTACTCATTGCTTTGTCTTTTACCATATACAATAGCAATATAATGAAATAATTAATGGTAAAGTAGGTACCGTAACATGTCATTCAGCAACTAAGGAACCCACCCCCTATGTAGTTGTGTATCAACTAAAAAAACAAAATTATAAGCAATTATGGAACCCAGTTGGAGTGCATATGGGTAGGTGTGATTCCCTGGAAATGATGGGAAAGTACCATGACCAAGAAAACTACCATTCAGCCCTTTGCATTACAACCTCAATGGGTGAAACTTTCATTTCAAACACACGAGCAGAGCAAGGAGAGTGAGGTTCCAAAGAATGTTACCTCTCCTGTTATAGCTACAGATTTCCAAGCAGAAAGCAACGCAAATCTTCAAACAACACCCATTGCAATTAACATAGCCAAGCTTTACCCTACGACTAATAAGCACTAAAATTAATTGGGACCATTCAAGTTAATTGGTTCCATCCAGTTTTACGGTTGTACTCTAGGACATGCCTAAAGAAATACAAATCAACTTCAAAACTTTCACTAGAAGCTTTATCAGCAATTGATTATAACCAATACTATTCCACATTCCAATACACTCTAACTTAGATATTCCTAGACAATAATAACCCGCTTCACAGGCCTAAACATGACACAAACTATAGTTGGGTGCTCTTAGGTAACCAATAGTAACCCAAAGAAAAGTTCTCCAGGTACTTCTCTACTGTTGGAGCCAACAGAACTCAGTAGCCAACCAAAAAATACTAATAAAAGAATCCAAATTTGAAGACAAAGAGGTAGTAAATATAGAGAAGAAAAACAGATGTCTCATACTCAATATTCCAGCAAATTATGTAAAAATGGACTCTGCTGATCCATAAAATGCCACATGTCAAAAACAAGTGATCCTATGCAGAATCAGTCCCGATGTGAGGTTAGATCAAACAAACCTTGAACTGGATTTTCCTATTTTTGCCAAAAATAATATCCCGAAGAACACTTGGCATGGATGCTGATATCATCCATATGCCTATTGGCATCAACAAGTCATTAGTGAATATTCCTTCAGATCTCTGTCAAGAAGTTCTAATACCAAGTTGATGTTTTCTTGGCCTATTGATATCATCCATAAGACCTATTGAAACCAACATTGCTGCTCTGTGAATCCAGCTCTGCCCTAATTGAGTTACCTTCACACACCAGGCCTGAAAAACTCAGAAGAATAGTGCCTTCATGATCTCTACATACTCCCCCAACACCTGTAACAACCCAGTTGCCTAAAGTGCAACCATCAGTTAATTTATTGGTTCCCAAAACTGGTGCAACTTGGGCTGGTTTGAGGTTAGACTCAACCTAATAGAAGGGGGTGTTATACACTGTTGTCACGAAAAAGTGCAGTGTGCTCCAGAGCATATAAAATATGGCCTGCAAATATTACTTCATTGGCATACAAAGAACAAAATAAGGCAATTTGATTTATGCACCAATGGAATGATTCTGTATTATGGGAACAAAATAAATAAATAAACTATTTTTCACCCCCAAGAACACCAGAAATATTGCAGCAGAAGGTGACCAAAGGGGACACTCAGCCTACAAGAGTCTGCTGAGTTGATTTGGCATCCAATGGCATTAATGCTTTAACAAGGGGAGCTTGACACAGAAAATAAATCAATTCCCTTTATAAATTCTTTCTCCCTTGTTCATGGATGGAAGAGATGATGAGTTGTAAATGGATAACATTTTTGTACAGGAGTATCAAACCTGAAAAATAATATGCCCTTGAAGACCACTCTTTTGTCATGTGTACATTGTACCAGGATTTCCCTTATTGGGTTCTGTCAATAACATTTGTAAGCCCAAAACCCCAGCTAGAATTGACCATCATCCCTTATTGGGTTCTGTCAAGAACATTTGGGTCCATGTGGAAGGCCTGCATCATGATTGCCAAACTATGTTAATCTTCCCTCAAGTCAAATTTGGCAATAGAATAACACAGCATAATATTTTAAATCGCACAAGGGGACATGACAATAAATAAATAAAGGACATAACATGGGAACTTGTATATTCTTAACATGGCTTTACCATGAAACACTTGTGATGATTCCAGTGATCTGGGGTCTTGGAAGGAGTGGACTAGGTAACCTCACGAATCTTTGTAATGAAACTTAGGTGTAGGTTAAAATCCAAGTTACATATATGCCATAGTCAACATGCCATGATTCTGTATCATCTGAAAACCAGTGTATCATCACACGAGCACACCTATACAGCCATGTGCACATGTCAACCACACCCAAACAAATAAAGGCTTGGTTCTATGACCAAGGAGAATCATCATTTAGTACTGTGGAGTACACTAACTTCAATCTTACAACTTGAAGATTCTAATGTACAACCAATTGATGCCACTAAGGAATATTATATCATAGCTGAATTGGATATAACAGAATAGATTTCTATAGAAGTTAACCCATTCAAAAGTTGCAAGTTAAGCTTATCTGAAGCAGATAGACCAAATTTTAGCTAAGGAAAACGAAATCTAATCATGACCTGCATATAGATGGACATAGGAATAAATATGGGGGCATTCATCTTCACGTGTCTGATGGTTACTTAGACAAACAAGAGAAACCAACATGCAAATTCAAAGTTACATATGTACATACATATTTCCACCCTATGTAAGTTAAGTAGCAATCACATATGGATTTTAATTGATTTTCAAGTCAAACTCAATTATATCATCTTAAGTTTATAGTATACAAGTTAAGTAGCAATCATAAACGTCATATATGGATTTTAATTGAAAGTTGGACATAACTAATTATAGGAGACTGCCAGGTTGTGATGGCTGGCCATTCTAAAGAGATGAGGGACCCTGGGCTCTTCGACATTTGATAATAGAAGCTAGGTGGTGATAAGCTGGTAACTCATAAGCAGTTCATACATGCCATTAGCACTGCAAGTTCCCTTGCAAGTGTGGGGATAAATAGAAATGAACTGTCATGGGGTTCACCTGGTCTGGGCAGGGGATTGTAAAAAGTGTGAATCTGCTCCTGAAGCAATTGTACTGGCAAGGGGCCTGCTCTTAGCTGTTTTTTATATTTCCTTCATTCTAATTTTCTTGGAACAAAATTCATTTTGTTTAATCATTTAATAGAACCCAAACCTTGAAGTTGATCTTTACCCAAAAAAAAACTTGCAGTTGATGATCAAATAAAAAATGGACTGGGGAATTGAACACATGGCCAATCCAGTCACCCCCCCCCCCAATCCAACTGATTATCTGGACCATCCATATGATCCCTCCATGAAGCAGAAATAGGTGAAGTCATGTATCCATCAAAAAAAAAAAAAAAAGAAAAGAAAAAAGGTGGAGTCATGCAGTGAAGCTCCCTACATGAGCTGATATATTAGTATACCCATTATATATGTCAGACATCTTTGTGTTTGGTAATTCTCTATATACATCACCTTGGGTTAATGCATAAGCTAGCTGTTTGTGTTAGTAAGTATATGCAGGCAAAGCTAAGATTCTGCTTTTTTAATAATCTTCTGGTTGTTGCTCACATTTAGTAAGTATATGCAGGCAAAGCTTGTTGTGTTTAATCATCTTGGCATTGTATTGTTTAGAAGTTATATACTTATGTAGTTCGATGGGGCATTTTATTGCTGCATATTATGTCCTGTGCTTTAATATTATGATCAGATTGAAGAAACTAATGAAGCAAGGAAGAAGTTCTCAAATGCTAAGTCTATTTCATCAATCCAATATTTTGGGGATCAACACAAATCAAGAGAAATGGAAGCTCAAATCTCTTTGCAAAAGTTCTTGGTATGTGTGTTAATTAACCATTAATGATGTTGCAATATGAGAATTGAAACTCCACTTGTTGGAAGAAACAAATTTTGTGCTAAGCATCTTAAGTTACAACCACTTGTGTAGAGTTAAAAGACAAATAGGGATTTTGTCTAAGCATCTTAAGTTACAGCGTCTAAGATTTTGGTTAATCTGCACTGAATTACAACTTGAAAAGTGCAGTTCAAAAACAAATAAGTATTTTGGCTCTCTAATTAATGAGTAGGATAAGCATACAAACCCCTGGCTCAAGCTGGCAACAAGGATTGCAGTTAGAAACAAAGAAACATAATTGATTGCCAAACAATTGAACAACAAAATTTAATAAGTTGCAGATGGAGCAACTTAGGACGTTAAAGGATAAAATGGGGCCTCATAGCAAAGATCTTTTGGAGTTGGATCAAACTAAATCTTCCTCCTTGATCAATCAATGACTTCACTCTTTGTCCCTCCAAGATTAGTAAAGTTGAATTATTGATGTGTATTTGATTAGATTTTGCAGAATCTGCACTTCTTGTTTGCAAAAAGAATTTACTGTCAAAATTCAATAAACCACACACCTTTGAGAAGCTTGTGACAACTCCAGTTCATAAAAGTCAAAGTAAGTTTTGATTGCTAGTGTATGGATTTTCACTTTTGTTTCTTTTAGGTGTACAAGTATATTAATTGTGGTCCTGCATTTGATAAGCATGAGGTCCTTATATTTTACTATCTTTACTTCTGAGTAAAACTGCATAGGCCTTCTCATAGGTTGCTGAACTTTTTACTTGTAAAAGCAAGAGAATCATATAATCTATGAAAACTTTGATATGGCATAAAGATTTCTTCCGTAAATAAAATAAAGATTTTATTAAAAGAAAGCAGAGAATTACAGGAAAGGTGACAGGAAATCACCCAAGAGAAGAAAATAAAAGCACCCCAAACCAAGAAAGGTCTACATGAACATTTGTTGTTCTTTTGACTTGCAAGCCTATTCATTAAGTTGCACTACATTATATCTGAAATTTTGATCAATAAATTATATATGCAATTATTAATGTCAAGCAATGAATAGGACAACTCTTCATGCATAAGGGTCTACATGAACATGATATACCTGAAAGGAAAGAAACTCTTTGATAAGAAATTCTCAAAAGACCTGAAAGAAAGGTCTACATGAACAGATTCAGAATTATCTGAAAAAAACTCAACTCAAGTTTGATCAAGAACAGTCATATTATCTTCAGAGGCTTGCAGCTCTCACTCCTAGATTTGTTGGAGTTGATATTGCAAATGTTTGTAATGAAGCTGCTTTAATTGCTGCAAGAAATGAGGTATCACAAATTGCTATGGGACACTTCAAGGCAGCTATAGATAGGATAATAGGTGGTCTAGAGAAAAAAAAAATGCTCCAATTTCTAAAGACATGCCCGAACCATCTCAGTTAGCTCAACTCTCATGTGTTAGTTTCATCTCTTTAACATAAAGGCGTGTTAGTTTCATATAAATTTATTTTATATTCCCAGTTAGAGTTCCATGAGATTGAAAACATGCTTATGTCATGATAGTTAATTTGTTCTTATATACAGACCATCATATTTTCCACAATTATTTGTTTTTTAGTGCTTTTATGGGTACAGGTGGTGGTCTTCTAAAGACTGGTATTTTACAAGTGACAACTGCAATGAATTCACACATACATATATCAAAGAAGAGGATTTTTTTTGGATAATATATAAAGTGTGAATTCCTTTTTCATTGGTAAAGGATTGTTGGATTGCAGCCTAGGCTTCAACCATTCACAACCAACATTATTAAAAAACAATAATATTTTCATGAGCAATTATTTACAATACCTAATCAAATGATCAATAAGACAAATTTTCAATTAAATTGGAGAAAACCCTAAATGACACAATTGAGTAAATTTATGGGAAAAAATAAGAGTAATGGGATCATGAAAAGAGAGAGAAATATGAACTCACAATGTGATCAGAAGTGCCAATGGGTCCACCTAGAATGCGAACACAAGTGTGAGTCTCCTTGCATATCTTCTTGACTAGTTCGCCCTTGCGGTCGATGATGCTACCTACCTTAAGAACACGAGTATGAGACAGAAAATGTTATTGCTAGGCTACCCAAGCTATTTCTTCTTGGTTGGCGTTGCCGTCAAGGCCTGGGCCGGGACTTCTGGAGTTGCCACCATTTCTAGAGGTTGTTGAGATGACTCTGACAAAGCGGTGGTTGTGGCTATATCAGTCCAACAATCCTTTGTATGTCATATGGATGGGTGAGAAGTAATTGGGTAGCTTAGCCAGAATCCACACTGCTAACCTTGACGTTGCTGGTTTGTGTTGTCCGATGGAGGGCAAAATCAACCAAACGGTTAAGGGAAATCCATAAGAGAGAGAGTGTTTCACCTGTTGATGCTAGCGCCATTGGTTAAGTGTCATCCCATGGTGAGAAGTTTGAGAGAGAGAGAGAGGTGTCATTTGGTGGCGAAAAGGTTGAGTAAAAGAGAGGGAGGAGGAGACACAGAGAAGGGCAAAGGAGGAATGTGATGTGAGAAAAAGGGTTTACGCAGGGAGGAAAATAGGCTTTAATACACTTTTCGTGCCTACATGGATTTAGTGGCAGTCAACACTGTCTTTAGCGGCAGTTTTAAACGACTTCCGCTATATGGTATTACTTTTAGCGGCAATCACCATTTAGTCCCTGTCAAAGCTGCCGCTATTTATTAGTTTTCCTAGAGTGAGGGATGCAAACATCTACAACATTCTCTCCTTCATCCGTTTCTAGACGACCACAAGTGAAGCCACTTTTCTCTCCAATCGTGCCAAGCAATGTTCAAAACTGGTAGCCATTTCTGGCTCTGATACCAATTGTTATGTTCCTCTCTTGGTAGGGAGAGAGATAAACATAAGCTGGGTTAATTCGAGGAAACCCAAAGCCTCCAAACTCTAACAAGAGTACAAATTTTAAATAATATCCAATATTTTAATTAACTCTCAAAATACAACTTAAATACATGAACCAACATTCCAACATATCAACTACTAGAGAGATTCTCTCCTTGTTTTAAGGCTCTACTCCATCTTAATAACAAACCCACTTATCTAAAGACCCCCCATTGACCGCTCTAACAAGACCATGTAATCTCCTAAATGTAAGCTCATGGAACCCACTAAATCCCCAACAACCAATTAACACTAGCAGACTACTAATATTCTAATAAGATAAGAATAACAACTAACAACATGATAACAAATTACTTAACCCAACAAATCACCCTGGTGGGTCACAACACAGCCCACTAATCCACTAAACCAGACACGTAACATCTTTTTTCCCATTACTTGGATGTTTTCAAAATACATATCACTGCAAAGCAAAAGAGTAATGGATCTCTACAACACAATTCCCTTTGGAAATAAACTTTTGACACCAAGCAAAGTTGCATAATGGGCTGAAGTTGCAATCTATGGGAAGCTCTGGAAAAAGGCCCAAGTAAACCGATAATGTTCTTGTACCATGTAGACATGGAACTTTCCGTGCAACTGGAATCAACTAATACTTGTCAAAGTACAGCCAAAGCAGGCAAATTCCTTCACCAATTGGCTATTTGCTTATCACATTGGTGGGTCATTAGTTGAGCAACCAAATCATGCGAAAAATCTTCTTCCTAGGATACTGAACTTCCCATCTAAATATTCCCACAATGCAAAGAATCAAATACAATACGATTAGCACTCCATAAGGCATTAAACCAAAGATTCCATGAACAACTTAATGCTTCTTAAATCCTCTTTGGACTGTGGGTAGTTTTGTGGCTTGAACAGCTTCCACAATCCAACAGGATGTTGGGGTTCAATTTTGGCTTGTGTTGAGAATCTGCCAAAGATCTTTTCACACTCAGGATATGGCTTGACATAAAGATTGTAGAACCTAAGCCTACTGGATTTTATCAGACCCTTCAACCCAACTTCAAAACCAAGTGCACCTTTTGACCTTAGATACTCAATTACACTATAACGAGGAACTATTTGCTTTTCGAAATTCACACCTAAGTATTCTGGAACTTCAACCAGGCAATAAATATTACACTCCATCCTGTTTATTAGAAAATCAATCTTCTTCTCTATGTCACCCAATTCATATATGATTGATCGTGGTTCTCTCTGCAGCACTTTGAAAGCGTCCCTCAGGGTTAGCCCATGTCTGTGCAAGCAATTCACTCTCAATTTTACTTCGGTCCCAGCTCTAAAAATCCCTTTACAGAGAATTTTCTCTTTGATTGCCAACCTACACTTCAAACCCCTCATTAGTTCCAGGCATCGAGAGAGCTCCCCTACTTCCATAGTGAGAATTCGAGGGTCTTTAATGACCTCCCTTCTGATATCGTCTGCCTTAAAACCCAACTCCTTAAACTCATTAAAAAGTGGCACGAACCTACCCTCAACGGAATATCCTAAAATTCCCGGAAACGAATAGCAGAGTTTATCGATTTCATCACTTCGAATCCCAATTCCCTTAAGGAACTCAATCCTCCGGTGAAGCTCATCCGGTTCTATCATAATAACTCTCGGAAATTCCTCTAAAACTCTAGATACAGTCCCATAATGAAAGCCAACAGCCTTTAGGACCCGTACACTGTTGCAGAGGTCAGCAGGTTCTAACTGAAACCTCCTAGAGTGCTCAAGAACGTTTTGAATTAGCAATGGAGAAACACTACCAAGATCTAGTTCAGAAAAAACCATCTCCCATTTCCTCAGAAACCCCAATTCCAAAACCCCAGGACAACTAGATATTATTGATACAAGAGAATTCTGCGATAATTTGAACGCCAAAAGAATTCCAAGAGACTTCTCCACATCCAACAAATTGAAATTCAATAAAAATTGACTCTTTCCAAGAAGTTCATGTAGTTGACATGTCGGAAATCCATACCTCTGCAAGAGATTAGCAAGCAAAACTTGTTGTCTATATTCTGAATTTCCTGTGAATTCTGAAGTGATTTTAGATGCGGTATCATAGCTTCCTGAAAAAGATCGAACTTTTTTATTACAAGCTAAGTTTTTCGGGAAGACAGTGAAAAATCGATGAAAAGCTGATCTAGTTAGAACCCTAATCGCCATTGCTGAACCTCAAGGATTTGGAAAAATACTTGGCTCCCACCAGGAGGACATGCGTCTTACCACAACCATTTTACACACGAGTTTTAAGGTTTGGACTTAGAGTTTACGTTAGATGGTTTTAGGGTTTAACTAATTGCTTGTTTGCCACCGGTGTGTTTAATAGTAAATCGTTTCACCCGATTCACAATGAATCGTTTCACCTGTTTATTTTGAGGGAAAAAAAAAGGAATGCACGCTGATTGGGCGTTTAAAGTAATTTGGTTTAATATTATAATATATATAAAGTCTCAATTTGGAAATACAGCGTAAATACATACAAAATAATACAAATATAAGGCTTTGCACTCTTTGTATTCCTTCGAACTCAGCGAAAATGACAACTTGTCTCAAAAAGTAGTCAATTTTTTCAAATTTCAATGTGCCATCTCATATCGATCTCCTCTCGTCGTCGGGATGAGGTCGGCTTCTTCCCTCGAGCTATAGTGCCAGGCACGACTCTCAAAAGGAAAATAAACAAAGATAGTTTTGTTTGAAGGTAAATTTCTCATACCCATTCGATTGTGGTTGGATACATATATAGAGCTTAGGCTTGATGGCTGTTACAACTAAAATGGAAAAGACAATAAAAAGGCTAATGATTGCTAATAATGCGCAGGGAATATTTCTGCTATAACAAACTCTACAATTCTGCTACTCTCCACCAGCTGATCTAGAGCAAAAGACCACGTTAGCCTCTGCATGTCAATGTGTCGTAACACTCCCTCCCCCTTCGAAAGCAGCATTGTCCTCAAGGCTAGATTGAGGAAATTTCTGTTGTAGTTCCGTGAGTATTTCCCAAGTCGAATTTATTGTCGAGGTTCCTTGCCATTGAACCAGTACCTTTGTTACTGCCTCGTTGCCTTGTCGTTTCAATCTTCTATCAATAATTGCAGCTGGTTGGGGTTGGAGTGTGTCGTCATCCTTTAGTGGTGGAAGAGTGGCTTGGGCATGAGAGTTGTCTCCAACATTTGCCTTTAACCAAGACACATGGAAAACATGATGTAAACGACAGCCTTCTGGTAACGCCAGGCAATATGCAATTGGACCAATTTTCTCTGTTATTTTGAATGGTCCGTAAAAATGAGCTACTAGCTTCTAAGACTTACAAACTGCCACTGTGCTCTGCCGATAAGGTTGCAGCCTCAAGTATACCCAATCTCTAATGTTAAAATTCCTTTCTGTTGTCTTCCGATCCACCATTTTCTTCATTCTGTCTTGGGCAAAGAGTAAATTCTGTTTAAGTTTTTGCAGAGCCCTTTCCCTTTCCTGTAATTCAGCCTCCACTGTTGGTGCTTGAGTTGTTCCTGGGATGTAGGAGATCAAGTTTGGTGGGGGATATCCGTATAGTGCCTGAAAAGGGGTGGTTTTGGTTGTAGAATGGAAAGTGGTGTTATACCACCAATTCTGTGATTGTTCACTGGTAGACCTGTTCATGGGCCGGGCCGGGCTGGGCTTTTACTTTTCATTAACAGAAATATATTAGGCCCGAGCCCGACCAACGGGCCTACAACTTGGGCCCGAGCCCGACCCTAATAAAAAGCCCGAAGCCCGAGCCCGAGCCTGAAGCCCGACTTAATAAAAAAATTAGAAATTTTCCCTATTCAATAATCAATATAAGTCATAATTTATTTACATTAAAAAAAGTATAAATTCAAATTTTATTTATATTAAAAAAATAATATGAAAAAGGGAAAGAGGATGTGGAGAATAAGAATTCGGTTGGAAAAAGAAGGGAAAGAGGTGAAAAAAATAGGGGTATTCAACTAGGGTTTTTAGGTTTAGTTATAGGTCGGGCCGGGCCGGGCTATTTTGGCAAATTCCGAGCCCGGCTCGAATTTATTGCGGGCTGGGCTTTTTGGCCCGAGGTTAAGCCCGCGGGCCTATATACCTATTCAAGCCCGTCCGGGGGCCGAGCCGGGCCGGGTCGGCCCGTCAGGCCACCCAACCCATGAACAAGTCTATTCACTGGTGTAGCATCTAAGGTAGGTTTCCAAAGTCTTATTAAGGACCTCTATCTGCCCATCTATCTGAGGGTGGTATGAAGAGCTCATATGTAGCTGTGTTCCCTGAAGTTTGAAATTCTCTCTCCAAAAGTTGCTGGTGAGCAGAGAGGGTCTCGATCACTTACAATTGTCTTGGGCATTCCATGTAATCTAAAAATTTCTTGGATGAATACCTTGGTCAGGCCAAAAGTAGAGAAAGGGTGGGTTAAGGCAATGAAGTGTGCAAACTTAGTTAATCGGTCCACAACTACCCAAATGGTAGTTTTCCTATTGGAAGAGGGTAAACCTTCAATGAAATCCATTGAGAGTTCAGACCATGCTTGTTCTGGAATGGGTAGAGGTTGTAGCAGTCCGGGGCATGCTTGGTTTTCTACTTTGTTTCTTTGGCAGATTTCACACTCCTTTACCCAATATTTAACTTCAGCTCAATAGCCTTTCCAACAACAAATCTTCCTTAATCTTTGTAGGGTGTTGTAGTACCCTGAATGTCCTCCCCCTGGGACTAAGTGGGCTTCCTCAAAAAGTCTCCTTCTAAATATTGAATTTGGATTGATTACTAGCTTCTCCCCTTTCCAAAGCAGCCCATTTTTAATTGAGTATTTTCCTATGGGCTCCTTGGCTATGTCTGATATCATCTTCTGCTATCTCTCTCTTGAGCTCTTCAATCCAGCTTGGAACTGGAGCAGATACGGCCATTACTTCCCCTGCTTCTTTGTGCGATAGAGCATTTGCAGCTGAATTGTTTGACCCTTTTCTATAGCAAACTTCATAGTCAAACCCAAAAGTTTGCTAATAAGTCTTTGCTGGTTTGGAGTTGTAATCTTCTGCTCCAAAATATGCTTTAAACTCCTGTGGTTTGTCAAAATTTTAAACCTTTGACCTAGGAGATAGGACCTCCACTTCTGCATTGTTGTCACTAATGCTAGCAATTCTTGATCATTTGTTGACAAGGACTGATACTTTCCTTGTAGTGCCTTGCTGAAGAAGGCTATTGGATGCCCTTGTTGAGAGATAACAACTCCTATTCCAATTCCACTAGCATCAGTCTCCACTATAAATGGTTCTTGATAGTTGGGGAGAGCTAGTACCGGGGTCGTGGTTATGATTCTCTTGAGTTTCCTGAAAGCTTCCTCGGCTTCATCACTCCATCTCCATCATCCCTTTTTGAAAAGTTGTGTTAGTGGTTTGGTTAGAATGCCATAATTATGGATAAATCTTCTTTTAATAATCAGTGAGACCCAGGAAACCTCTAAGGCCTTTAACTCCCTTGGGTGTGGACCAGTGAAGAACATCTTCAATATTAGCTGGGTCTACTTCTGCCCCCAATGGTGATATTATGTGGCCTAGATACTTGATCCTTTCAACCCCGAACTGACATTTGCTTCTTCTTGCATGTAGTTGGTGTTGTTTGAGAACTTCCAGTACCTTCTCCACCCACCATCCTTCTTCCTGACCAAAAGAACAGGGGATGAAAAAGGACTGGTACTTGGCCATATCACCCCTTCCTTCAGCAACTCCTTTACAATCTGCTCAATCTCATTTTTTTGGTAATAGGGGTATCTATAAGGTCTGACGCTGATGGGCTTGTTATCCTTCAATGGAATGGCATGATCACAATGATGTGGAGGGGGAAGTCCCACGGGTTCAGCAAACACATCATGATATTCTTCCAATAGCTTATAAATATGAGGTTCTGGGTTCATCTGTTGTTCCTCTCCTCCTTTCAGCTGAATCAATAACAGAAGGGCTCCCTTCTCAGCATCCTTAGCAGCCTTGGCGGCCTCAATCATGCAAAGGGATTGTGTCTGTAATCCCTTCAAGGTGTGGTGGTCTTGGCTGTCTTCAAATTGTAGGGACAAAGAGGAGAAATCCCACACAACTGGTCCTAGTGTCTCTAACCATCGGGCCCCCAATACTGCACCGTAGCCTTGTAGGGAGAGTAGATAGAAGTAAGCTATTATGGTGGTTCCTTGAGTTTTGATCGGTACCTGTGGGCATTTCCTGGCCCCTTGTATCTTTTCTCCATTGGCAACCAACACTTCGAACTGTGTTTGTGTCACTGGAATCACTCCTACCTTCTTCGCTATCCTTGGATCCAAGAAATTATGGGTGGATCTCGCATCCACCAACATTGTTACTGGTTGTTGGTTTATCAGTCCTTGGAGTCGCATGGTTTTTGGAGAACTGGACCCTGAGATTGCATGGAGGGATATTTCCATAATTGACACCTCCCCTTTGTTTGGATCTTCCTCAACTTCATCGCTTGGGTCTTCTCCCTCCATCAGTCCCATGACCCAATACAACCGTTGAGTCTTGCAACGGTGGCCAGGGACATATTTTTCGTCATAGTGATAACAAAGGCCACGCTCCTTCCTATCTCGTGCTTCTGTCGAAGTCAGTCTTTTGATTTCTAGAACTGGTTTAGTGGTAGTAGAGGAATTTATTATCAGAGGTTTTGTTTTCAGTGGTTCACCATGTACCTGTCGACGCTTGACCGTCCACTCTTCTTCCTCTAGCAAGGCCAAGCGAAATGCTCGGGTGAGAGAGGTGGGTTTGAACTTCTCCACTCCAGCTCGGACTTCAGGCTTCAGGCCAAAAATGACGCAGCCCGTAAGGTATTCTTTGTTCAGTCCTTTAACCCGACTAGATAGGAGTTGGAATTGATCCATATACTCCTGTACCGAGGTGGTCTGAGCTAATTTGGAGAGTCTCCCTGCTATATTAGTCCCCTGCACGCTGTTGTATCGATGATTCAGTGCATCCACAAACTGGTCCCAAGAGGGTTGTGGATAGTGCTCAATGAACCACCAATACCACTCCACTACTCTTCCTTCAAAGCCCAAGCTAGCGACCTGAATCCATTGGTCTTTGGTGATGCCTTGTAGAGAAAAGTATTGTCGCAACAGCACCAACCAACCATCGCGATTTTTCCCATTGAACTTGGGGAGTCCCAACTTTGGTCCCCATGTTCCTATGCCGATCGACCTCCCCGTCCTGTTAGAAGCTTCCGTTTCCTTGCCTCTGTCGCCCGCACCTTCTAAGACAGATCGATTGGTGTTCAATTCTAGATTCCCTCCTACCGGAAGTGGAGGACCCAGACATTCCAGAATCTCTGCTAGCTTGGCCATGACTCCCTCCTAGTTTATCTCCAGGAAGTTCAACCTTTCTTCAAGATTCGACATCTCCTCTCCTGATGGGATGTCTGGCTCTGATACCAGACTGATATCGATCTCCTCCCGTCGCCGGGATGAGGTCGACTTCTTCCCTCGAGCTATAGTGCCAGGCACGACTCTCAGAAGGAAAATAAACAAAGATAGTTTTGTTGGAAGGTAAATCTCTCATACCTATAGAGCTCAGGCTTGATGGCCGTTACAACCGAAATGGAAAAGACAAAATAAAAAAGCTAATGATTGCTAATAATGCGCAAGGAATATTTGTGTTGTAACAAACTCTGCAATTCTGTTACTCTCCACCAGCTGTCCTAGAGCAAAAGACCACGCTAGCCTCTACATGTGAATGTGTCATAACACCGTGTCACTAAGGTGATTTAGGATCACCCAAGTGATTTAAAAATGCCGATTTGACGTTTCAAGAAATCTCTCTTTTCCTGAATTCCAAGGGTAATTATTACCAAAACATTGTTTTGAAAAACACCTTTGCCAAATACGGTTTTTTTGACAATTCCATTTTTTGCTGATGTGGTGCACATGACACACATCAGCAAAAATGAATAAGCCTTGAAACACATCAATGCCAAACGCCTACTAAGGTTTCAGAAAGATTAGTAAACACAACAATATATGTTCACTTGTTCAGGCCATGGACTGAACAAGTGAATAATAATAATAATAACTCTCCACACCAATCAAAATACATAGCACCCCCAAATCGACTAAGGTGGTGTTTGGCATTGTCTTTGTCTTGTGGATGGATCATTTCGATCCATGCCATGGACTGAACACATAGTTTGGTTTGGTGTGGACAGGACCAATCCACAATATATCATGGACCGGCCCTATCCCACAGCTCAACTCGTCAACACATTTTTATCATGGTTGAATTCGGTCCCCAACTACTATAAATTTTTTAATTGGTAATATGCATTGCACACCTCTTTTCTTACCCCGGAACATTTTACTATTGCTATTCTCCACCTCCCATGCCCTTGTGCTGTTTGTTGAAGCTCTATGCCGCTATGCTCCGCCGCAAGGAATATGACGATTATTTGCCGATTTGCTCTACCAAACAGTATGTTATCTCCCTCTTTCTCCTTCATCTTTCTCATGTTTTTACCTTCATCATTCCAAAACACTCTTTGTCCCTCTCATGTTTTCATTTTTACCTTCTTTTATGTTTTTTTTTTTATTTGAATGTTGAAACGACTAGACTCGTTGTCATCCCTATTTGTGGATGCTATAACAGATCCTTTTTTTTTCATTTGTTTTTGTCTTCTTTTCCTTTTGTTTATGCTATCTTCGTGTATGCTATCACTTGAAAGCAATATCTTCTCCATTTGTTTTTCATCTAAAAAAATTGGAGAATGCTTGATCAATATATATTTTCTATTGTTTAATGACTTGTTCATGTTTCTTGGTGCTTGTTTATTTTCACCATAGCTTCTTCTTCCTCCATATTTTTAGTTAAATCCATTGTTTGTGACTTTCCATCTATTTTCTCAAATTCAATAATTACCTATTATTTTGTAATATTCAACAAGAATGATAAAAAATTGTAGTTATTCATACAAACCATTATAAAACCAAACACACATACAACATTGCATCATTATTCAATTCATATTACTGAAAATCGAAAAAATTGAATTTGACTAAAATATATAAGAAAAAAAGGTAAAATAAATTCTGAAATGACCAAAGTAGTAGGATTCAAGGTTCAAAATATCAATATGCTTGATACGCCGGTATCGGGCAAATCAATACAGCTTTTGGTAGTTTTTTGTTTTTTTTAATTTTTTTCGCAAATGATTTAGGGAGTCGGTTTAGGCCTCCTCCACACCCTGAACCAGTCAGACTCCCGATACATCCATTGTAGGAACATATCGGAAGAATCTTAAAACGATACATATCAGCTAATACGGGCCAATATGTGTCAATACTTTGAACCTTGGTAGGATTAGGAAGCCTTATATATGGTTGCCAACGATTTTCAGGTGGGGTTTTCGTCCAAAATTTCAGATATGGGAGAAATAATATAAGCAACAACTAAGTGTTAAAATACTTAAAAAAATGGAGAAAATTCGAGTTTTGAATGAAGATGAACGTTTGGAAATGCAAAACGGTTCACCCACTAGTCGATTTCAGGCTGGTAAAGTTGTTGCCGATTGCCCTGTTCCAAATGGATAAATGGAGAAGACAAGGGTTTTCTCCATTCGCAGGGTAGTTTGGGCATTACAAAAAAAGGGATTGGACCATCCTAAAATTTTCAAATAAGCACTTTTTTGAACAAGTGCTTTAAAAAGAGCCACCTTAGACATGCTTATTTGTTAATTGCTTTTTTTTGAAAATAAGCATTTATTTACCAAACAGGTATAAATACTTATTTCCAACTTAATGTGTGGTCCCAATAAAAAAGTATTAAGTAATTATTAGAACTAAAACCAAACAAGACCTTAGTGAATTTTAAAAAAGTCGAGGGTATTTGTCCTCTTAAATACCATCACGCAGAACCTCAATCAAAGAGAGAAGAATGGTATTACGTCTACGGTTCGAAAATTGAACGGCGAAGATCATTAGGAGTACCTATGGACCTGTGGTGTGAAACAAGCAAACGATTTCTCGTTACTCATTAGGGTTTTGTCACCTCTCCAAATTTTTTCGCAGTGAAAGGCGCCAAAGCCAGTCGCATCGCCGAGCTTGGAAGTTGGAAACTTGGAACCAGAAGCAAAATGGTGCTCTCTCTCTCTCTCTCTCTAACACACATACACATACGTTCTTTGACTGATTTGAGTTTGTCTAATCCTCGATTTTGATACGTTCAGCCGTCGCACAAGACCTTCAGAATCAAGAAGAAACTGGCGAAGAAGATGAGGCAGAACAGGCCCATTCCACACTGGATCCGTATGAGGACGGACAACACCATTAGGTTTATTTTCTATCTTATTTCTTTCTCTATCAGTACCTTAAGAAATTTATTTCGGCTTTCATCTTCAGTTGTATCTCGAACGATCTCTGTTTCCCAATTGTTTCAGGTATAACGCGAAACGCAGGCACTGGCGCCGTACGAAGCTAGGGTTTTAATATGTTGTAGCAGATTTCCACCTTTCTGCTTTCGCTCGCGTCCTTTTGTCAAATTAGGATTTTTAAGACACGATGAAAGTAAGAGCGATGTTCTCCGATATCGTTATTGTGTACGCTAATCTGTTAGAGTTAGTATTTATTTATCTTGTACTTCTTAATTCAAGGTTGGTTCTCATGGTCTTAGTTTGGGATTGTGTGCTTCAATTTGTTTGCCGTGTTTGTGTTAGAAGAATTTTCTAGTTGGAAATGGCTAGCGAGATGCATTATCTTAAAGCTATCTCTTCGGTTTGCCTTCCTCATGCTCCATCGATTATGTTATCTACCTAAAGACCTTATTGCCAAGTAGAATAGATCTCTTCTAGTTTAGATGGGTTAAATTTTCTCATGTTGAATGTTGTGAAGAACTCCCAAATATAGTCAGAATATCTACAGTGTATGAAAAGAAGTTTAACATTTACTTCCTCCTCCAATCCTCCATGCACAGAATGCAACTGTTTGCCAGCTGGAACCTTCTTGACTTCAAATCATTAATTCTTAGTATGCTGTCCAACACAAGCAGCCTAATGAAAGCCTCGACTATTGGTGTAGTGGGTTCACGCAAACTCTCTTAACATTGGAGCTTTTAATTTAATTCCTGAATACAGTTTTGTAGATTCATAGAATGGTTTTTTAAAGTGAATTTCTCATCAGAACACTCTTTCCACCACCTAGTGTCTGGTTCATTTGTTTCAAACTTTCAATTTTCTTTTCTTCCTATTTTGACAGCATCAAGATACATTATTCTATTTCTCTATCCAGCAATTGGTACCTGAACCTAGGAAACCCACATAATTGAATCTTGTAGCTTCCCTTTACTTGATCATGAAAACTTATACTTAAAACTACCCACATAACTGAATCTTGCAGCTTGCCCGTACTTGTTCATGGAAGCACATATTTTTTTGATAGGAAACGGTAGCTTTCATTAGATAAAACCAAAAGAAACAACTGTCACCTTCCAAAGTAAAAGGTGACCCCTGAATAACAAAAATCTTACAACACTGCACAAAACAAAAACTCCCGATTCACMCCCTGTTTTGCTAGGTAGTCAGCTAAAGCATTTGCTGACCTCCTAGACCAATACACTTTTGCATCCAGCTCCCTTGTGAGGCTCAATAATTCCCTTACCTGTTGTCTATGGGACCACGTTTCCAAACTGTTTGATTGCAGCCATCCTACTACTAATTTTGAATCCCCCTCCACTTCCAACTGTTGGAAACCCAATTGCTTGGCCCATCTGAGTCCCTGGAGGAGCGCCAAAACTTTAGCTCTAAGCGAGTCCTCCACACCTATTGGGCTAGAATACAGAGCTAGGATTTTTCCTTCTGCATCTCTAAACACACCCCCTATTCCAGAAGGTCTGGGGTTCCCAATAGAGCTGCCATCAAAGTTCAGTTTGACATGACATTGCAAAGGAGGGGACCAAATTGCTTGTATGGTAGGTAATGAAGTAGATCTTGCTAAAATATTCCAGCCTCTAATCAAATCATCTGTAGAGACATCCTTGAACAAGTCAGGAGTTTTTAGCCAATGTACTGCCTTGATGGTGATCCCTTTAATAACTTCAGGAGCTGATTTTTCTTTCCCTTGGAAAATCCTATTGTTTCTCTCTTCCCATACTGCTCACAAGATAGCTGCCCTTGTTGTTCTCCATATCACCCTTTCTTTCTTCTTTGGTTGTCGGAAAAAGCTAGGGTCAAATAAATCTGCTAAACTTGTGGGAGGATTCCACCTACAATCAAAGAGAGAGGAGAACCAACCCCAAATTAGAGCACTAAAAGGACAAGAAATTAATAGGTGATTCACCGTCTCACCATTCCTCAAACAAAGGCTACAAACATGAGGTGACAAGCACCTCCAAGGTATTGATTTTTTGGAGAATCACTTCCCAACAAAAAGCCCTTACTTTTGGGGGGATTGGAACGCTCCAAACTTCTTTAGCAGGAAAAGAAGAAACCGGGTTAGAAAGGACCAAAACATTGAAAAACGAAGAACAAGAAAAACTACCCGTAGAAGTTTCTTCCCAAACTCTACTGTCCGGAGAGGAGTGGTCTAGAAAAATTGAACTTAGAAGAGAAAAAAATATCAATTGCTAACTCCACTTCTGAGTCCCTCAAACCTTTCCTTAGTCCCAGATCCCAAGAATCCCCAGAAGTACGAAAAGATGAGATAAATTGAGATTTTTTCAAAGGGAATAAAGGTTCGGGAATCTATCCTTAAGAGGAGATTCCCCAATCCACAAGTCCTCCCAAAAAAGAATTTTATTACTCACACAAGCATCATACCTGATGAAAGGATGGAAGAAAGGCAAGATACCAACAATGTCTTTCCACGGGGAAAAACGCGAAGCCCTTGGGTCGAGTCCAGCGTCCCATCAATTTGCTTCCATTCCATGAGTACTTCTTATCACCTTATGCCATAGACTCTCTTGCTCCTTAGGAAACCTCCATAACCATTTGCCTAACAAAGCTGCATTTCTTTTTCTTTTTTGATAGATAATGATAATGAAAATTTTATTAAATAAAGAACTAAGTATTCATCATACAATTTCCCACAAAGAGGCACGAGGTGCAGCCTCCAAACTACATCATAAAGCTTACAATTGAGCCCAAAAGAGTTGATTCCTATGTACTTCTTGTTTAGCTAGAAGGTCTGCCAGCCCATTTATTGATCTTCTTTCCCATTGAACTGTGACTGAAATATTTGAAGTCGGCCACTTAAATCTTCTCAAAGCCCCCCTGTACGGCCAGGCTGCCGTCTCTGGTTCTTTTAGCCATCCAATAACCAATTTGGAATCACCTTCAATCATTAAATGCTCCACTGCCAACTCTCTTGGATATTCTGCTCCTTGTAACATAACTTGGAGTTTTGCATTTACAGAGTCTCCCCACCCTATAGGACTAGAAAATAGAGCTACAATCTAACCCTCATCATTTCTGAAGATTCCCCTTATTCCAGATGGCCCTGGGTTGCCCAAACTACTGCCATCAAAATTTAGTTTAATGACGCCTGCATCAGGAGGCTTCCAATCCACCACCGACTTGCTTTTGATTGCAGAACTTTTAGCTAGTTGTTCCCAATTTCTCCTTGTGTCATCGAAAGTGTAGGTGGAAAACAAATCCAAGGATTTTACCCAACTTATAGCCCTACATAAGATACTTTCTAACACACATGTTTGATCCCTCTCCTTGTCATTRAAGATTYTAGCATTTCRTTCCTCCCACACAGTCCACACCAAAGCAGCTCTAACACACCACCACAAAACTCTTCCTCTTCTCTTTGGCCACTTGAAAGTTGTGGGATAAAAAATATTGCAAATCTGCACTAGTTCTGTCCACCTGCACCCAAAAAGATCAAAAAGCTTTTCCCAAAGGCGTACAACAAAAGGGCAAGTGATTAGTATATGGTAGCAACTTTCCTCGTTAGCTTTGCATGGGGTGCACTAGTTAGGAGAGATACAAAGACTAGGTCTTCTTTTTTGCAAAACATTCAAAGTGTTGATTTTCCCGAGGGAGACTTCTCAACAAAGGGCTCCAACTTTAGGAGGGACAAGTTTGGACCAAACTTCCTTGTTATGAAAAGGTTGAGGCAATGGAAAGGAGCACAAGGAAGCAAAGAAGGAGGCACAAGAAAAGGAACCCAAAGGTAATGCCTTCCAAATACGGGAGTCTACAGAAGGAGGGTCCAAGCAAACAAAATCAATAGTTTTGAGGAGCAAAGCAGCCTGGTCAAGCTCAGAATCTCTCAAACCTCTTCTAAAACCCAAATTCCAGTTTTTGCCAGAAGAAAAGGATGATGATACAAACCTTTGAATTGGCTCGTTTTTAAAACACAAGATGGAATACAAGGAGGGAAAGAGGTCCTTGAGGGCACAGTCACCGATCCAAACATCCTCCCAATACAAAACCCTATTTCCAGTACTAACATCATACCTGATCAGGTTCAGGAAAATGGGAAGAATACTATGAATAGCCATCCATGGGGATTTCAGCGTAGCACGTCGAGATACACCAGCATCCCATCCATTGTTTGCAACACCATGCACACTCTTTACCACTTTATGCCAAAGTCTTTCCCTTTCTAGAGACCACCTCCACAGCCATTTACCTAATAATGCTGTATTTTTCTTCCTTAGATTGCCTAATCCCAGCCCCCCTGTTCCTTCCTCCTATACAGTATTTCCCACCTAACCACATGATCCTTCCTCCCTTCCCCCGACTCCCGCAAGAAATCCCACAACAAAGCTGCATTTCTTATTCTAATATTCCCAATCCCTAAACCCCCTTTGTCTTTCTTTCTAGACACCACTTCCCATTTTACCCTATGATCCTTTTTGGTATCTCCAGGCTCCCATAGAAAATCTCTCATTATTTTTTCAAATTGGTTTGCAATCTTAATAGGCAATTTGAAGGTAGACAAAAAGTAGACTGGCAAATTTGCTAGTGTTGACTTAATTAGAGTGATTCTACCCCCAAAGAAATGTAGTTCCTTTTCCAACCCGCTAGTCTTTTTGAGAATCTTTCCAAGACTGGGTACCAAAAGCTAATAGACCTCGGATTTTCCTCCCAAAGGTAAGCTTAAATACATAAGGGGCCGGCCATTCACTTACCTCACAACCTAGAGATCTAGCCAACGATGCCACCTGACCTTCTTGCCTATTAATTCCAACTACACAACTTTTATTCCAATTTACTCTCAAGTTGGAGACCTTTTCAAAATTCTCTACCAAGACCTTTAAATTTTCCAACTCCGGGTCTCCTTCACAAAAGAGAATCAAGTCATTGAAAGTGGGTTACAACTATTTCCTCCCTTCCTGCTCTCCACCCTCTAATCAAATTTCTAGCATCGGCTCTAGTAATCTGGACACTCAACACATCAACTATTAGGGTGAAAAGGAGAGGAGAAAGAGGGTCTCCTTGTCTTAATCCTCTCTTTGCCGGGAAGAAATCCTTGGCTACCCCATTTACTAGAATGGAGTAGTGACATGAAGAGATACAACTCTTAACCCACATGCACCACTTTTCTCCAAATCCTCTGATGCTCAATACTTCCAGTAAAAAGTCCCAGTCCATCAAATCATAGGCCTTCTCCAAATCTAGTTTGCAAATCAGATTCTTTTCTCTTTGTCTTTTTTTGTAATCCACACATTCATTGGCAATAAGGATCTGATCAATAGTTTGTCTTCCTGACACAAATGCTCCTTGGTTTGGAGAAATCAAAGAAGGTAGTACATTTTTT